CCCCATTGGATTTAGTGTCTTGCTATACCAACTGTCAAGGTACTTGGAGAAGTGTGTTAACAGATCAGTACAGTCAGCTTTCCTAAGAATACCCTTACAAATAGGAGCCCCTAAGTAAGTGAATGGTAGTTTGCTGAACTTCATCTTTAATATGTGTTCCATCTTGACAATATTTCTTTGCTTTATTCCCTTCCCACAATAAAACTTGCTCTTGCTGAGATTAATCTCTTGACCAGAGCCATTGATGTAAGTCCCTAACAGAGCTCTCAGCTTTAGCAAGTTATTGGTATTCCCATTACAAAAAATAATGATGTCATCTGCAAAAGCAAGGTGGCTGATGAGTAGATCCCTGCTTGTATTATAATTTTGGATTTTAGAGGATGCCATTTCTGTTTTCAACATTTTGGAGAGCCCCTCACTAGCAATAATGAATAGCAAAGGGGATAGTGGATCGCCTTGTTTAACTCCTCTGCTCATAGGAAATAAACCTTTAGGGCTCCCATTAATCATTATGGAGATGTGTGTACCCCTGAGGTTAGCTAGGAGAAGTCCCTGATTGTGTTCTGAAAACCCAAGTTTCTTTAAGATCCCCTGTATGTAGTCCCACTCCAAGTTGTCAAAAGCCTTGGCCATATCTAATTTGATAATGACATTGCCTCCTCTGATCTTCGAATCAATCTTGTGAACCATCTCTTCCACCAAAAGTATAAGTTCCTCAACCCCCATCCCTGTTTGGAAGCCAGTCTGCTCTGAAGAAATAATCTTGGGTAGCAACTGTTAAATCCTGTCTGCAAGTATTCTAGTGTTTACTTTACTCATGAAAGTGGAGAGTGAAATGGGCCTATGTTAGAATAAGTGCCCTTCACTAGAGGGGGGTGAATAGTGAGGCACGAGAATGTTTATAAATTTTCGCGGAATAAAAATCGCAGGGATAAAGTAAAGAGCGGAATAAAAAGCGTAAGGAGAGAACACACCGGTTTTACCCTGGTTCACCACAACGTGTGGCTAGTCCAGCCTCCCGAGAGACTCTCTCGAGCTACACTATCAACGTTAAGCTTACGGGTGGTTAACAAACCGTTACAACCTGAGAACTCGAGTCCCACGAGCCTCAATACACTTGCTCGGAGATACCGCACTCCAAGACTTCAACCCGAAGGAAAATACCTTCCCTTCGTACAACCAAGGGAAACAAGCTTCCCTAAACGTGTTTACAACACTAAGAACACTCAAGNGATTTGTCTTAACATATAGATTATTAATATATAGTTTCTATAATTTTTTAATATACAAATTATAAGATAAAATGGATTAAAGAAGTGTATTGGATGGTGTGTAAAAATGAAAGTGGACAAATACTCTAGGACGAAAGTAATATGATAATATCAATTAATAATGAAAAAATATTCCACTTTTTAAGGAACTAATAAGGGAAAAAAGCTCATCTTAAGAAGTATCAAATATTGATTATGTCCATTAATAATCAGTGCACGATTGCATTAAAAAAAATCAATCCACGATTTAGTTGCATTGGTATCAACTTGACTATACTGCCCCTACACACCTAATTCCTTCCTAATTTGATGGGATTGATTTATCACTTAGCATATCCATTGGAAAATGGAGCCATCCTTTAGATGTAATTTAGGCCTTTAGATTAACCATATCAACGAATATAATTCATTCTCATTTCTTTCACTGAGGGTCTTTCTCACTTGAACCGGCCCCTATATATATATATAGATATATATATATATATATATATATATATATATATATATATATATATATATATATATATATATATATATATATATATATATATATATATATATATATATATATATATATATATATATATAGACACACGCGCACACACACACACACAGAGATATATGTGTATAAGTGAACCCTTGAGCCTAACTTATGATTCCATATTTATGATATCAAGAATAAAAGGCCCTAATTACTGTTAAAATCATCTCGTGTGATTTAAACATAGCTTTAGTCTATAGAGTAGACACTCTAGTAACATAGATGTAAACTACGATGTTTTGATTATGAGACTATATGTGTGTGTGTGTGTGTGTATCGGTAAGTCTAAAATGACACCAGTGCTACTAGTGTCATTTTCTTACACCAGTTCGTTTGGGGTACCTACGGTGCTCCGTTTGTAAAACGACTGTTCCTAGACCCCCTAACCTTCCCCCTAAACCCACCCCCCCACCCCAGCCCCCCCTCCCGCCCCCCTCCCTACCCTGGCAATACACTGTCAGTGTACTGCCAGGGTAAGGAGGGGGGCTGGGGTGGGGGGGCTAGGGTGGCCCCGCAACAATTACCGCACCAATCACTTTCCAATCCAAATTAATTAACCTTTTAAAATCAATTTCCCTCCAACACTCGAACAATAATTCAGTATTATTACACTAATAGAACCATAGATATACACCAATGTATGAGTACTATGCACTCTTTTTTGACACCACATTCCACACTCAGCCACACGTATTATTTAATTCCCGCTTTTGCTAATCAATGACAAACATTATCATGTGCAACTCCATGTAAAATAAGAATGCAAAGAAACGTATTCACACAAGAAACTGACGTCCAGTCAAGTTAATGCTAGAATTCTTCATAAATACCAAAAAATTATGTCTATCTATCCTCATACTGAGCAATAATTCAACCCCATCTAGCAAAACGAACAAGCCAGCATCGACTCACTCAGGAGTTGCTCCATGAAACCAAAACTCAAAAGCATACGAAACTGGAAATTCTAGAAAAAACAAAAACAGAATACATCATAATCCCCAAGAAAAAGTTAGGCATCAAAAACATGAATTTGTAATTAAGTCATGTAGACTTCAACCACTCGAGTGCTTCACCAGCTGCCTTATCTTGTCCTTAACGTCGTTGGCATCTGATTCGACTATCGCAGCACAATACGTTGTGCGAAGTGCATTCACCACCTTCTCATCCCCCTTTTTCAAGCCACATTCCCACTGCTTCAATGTATGCCCTGTGTACGTCTCCATGTGCCGCATTGTAATCACACCATAATCAAATACAGCGGTCGAATCTCTCCACGCCAATTGCAATCGTTTTGGTTCTTGTGCCTTCAGGGTATCGTTACCATTGGAACACAATTCCTGATTGCTGATTTTTGAATTAATTCAACTCTAATCACCTCATAACGGCTAATTAACATCTTCCACTATAAATATAGGTCTAATACTTCATATTTCAAAAAGAAACAAAGCTCCAAACATCCTCCCTTTATATTTTAAGTGTGTTCATTCTTTCATTCATTATTTTCAATATTTTTGCTATTTCAAGAGCCTTAAATTCATGAATTTTATACACACACTTTGAGCTTGTGTTTCTAGTTATATACTCTCATATTCATAAGTTTATATTGTATTTTTGAGAGAGTATAATTTCCTTCTACACTGGCTAAGTTTTGTTCTTCATTTTTATATTCTAGCCGTTGTGTAGAATCCTCTTTTGTGTTCTTCAAACACACATTGTTACGGTCGAGAGTAGCCGTTAAATTCTCATATTGTAACGGTCAAGGATAGCCGTATAAATCCTTGGGTAAAGGTTCAAGGATAGCCTTTGAAATCCTTGAGGGAACGGTAGAAGATAGTCGTAAAATCTTCATTGTAAACGGTTCGAGATAGCCGTTGTGAAATCTCAGGAGTGAATCCTATTGGCAAGGGTTGTTTGCCAAAACTAGTGCGGCGTTTTGACAGAGTTCAAGAGACCGAGACTTAGTGGATTCGGAAATCCTTTAGGAGGAGCCTTAAGGTATTGGAGTAGCGAGTTCCCGAACAAGTATAAAATCGGTGTGTCTTTTACTTAACGCTTTTATTTATGCGTTTTACTTATTGCTTCTGCATTTGCCAACACCGTTTTTATCAAACTCCGAAAAGTTTTTAAATGCCTTATTCACCCCCCCCTCTAAGGCGTGGGCACAACGTCTAAACCGACTAACAGCGTCGTGCGTGCAATTCTCATAGGGCATCACTTCGTAGCGTCACCATTTGTTTGCCCCATGCAAACTCCATCGTCAGCCGTTCGTAGTCGTGCAGAACTCGCCCCAGCCCCCTCAACCATTGGACGCCAAGGACCACTTCATGCCCGTGAATCTGAAGGACGTAGAGGTCCACCGTAAATGTCGTTCCTTTTAGCTCTAGCGCCAAATTCCGGCATTGTTGGGTGCAACATAAGGAGTCTCTGTTCCCCACGTACACCCGGAACGCCGCTACTGCCTCAAGGCTCAATCCATGTTTCTCCACCATACGGGGGTGCACGAAGTTATGTGTGCTTCCCTCGTCAATTAATACGTCCAGCCCATGTTGTTCGATCTTTCCTGTCAAACGTAACAAACGTGGGGTGGTGACCCCTGCCATGTTATTCAAACTGGAAATATCGGCTGCCACCTCAATTTCTTTCTCTTTCTCGCTGTCCTCCTCTTCCCCTTCCTCTTCCCCCGTGATCAGGATAAACCTCCCGCATTTATGCCCCTTGTGCCACTTTTGGTCGTAGTTGTAGCATAATCCCTTTGCATCCTTCTCCAAACGTTCTGCCCGGGTGAGACGTCTGATGAGGTGCGTGGTGGAGGACTCTCGCCCCTCTAGAGAGGTTTTAACCCCACTTCCCGCCGGGGTTTGCTTGGTTACTGACCCCACTGATGTTTCTGTCACGGCCCGGCTAGGGCTGTTGCGGTTGACGTTGTTGCAACATGACGAGCTCCTCAACCCTACTAAGTGCACGATGGCTTGATGTTTTGCCTCTAACTCCCGGGCCAAAGCAAAGGACTCCGACAACATCTCGGGTTTAAGTAAGCTAATCTCATGTTGAAGGTGTTTCTTTAGGCCCGCGTGAAACAACGATTGAACGTAGGGTTTGAGAACGTCAATGACATGGGTGAGTAGCTTCTCGAATGCTCCTTGGTATTCCATAACTCGCGCCACCTGCCATCCTATCATGTATAGGCAGATATAATATTTTTACACATCTCATGCTAATGTAAACGAATATTATATTCCTAGATTTCTATTTAAAGATGTTTATCAGATAGTGTTATTCTGCTGATGAGACTAACATCTTGAAATAAATATTTATGTGAATGTCCATAGTCGAGTATTAACGAGAGTGGGATATCGTTAATGCATGTGAGACTAGTGTGTGTTGGATGTTTGACTTAGTCTCATAGTCAATTACGGTGTGTTCGCATCCGCACATGGGCAGATATTATCTGGAGATAATAGGATGCCGGACTGACCCATCCTAAAGATGTTGCTTGAACTTTTAGTTCATGCTCTAAGCATCTTTAGCGCGACCACGGGTGTAACTATCCTTCGACTTGAAGTATTACATAGGATTTGTCACTACTCTTTTTAAGAGATTAATGTCTTATGGGGCCCACTGATAAGTTATGACTGAGGAAATTGCATGGCCATGCTGAGATGTTTTTATGACGTCTGTTCCTATCAGTCAGACTTGATAAATCAGTGAATGACTTAATGGATACAAGCTGGATTTAATTAATCCCTTGCATTAAGTTTAGACATTGAGACAAAGGGATACAGTTACACGGAGTCTGAGTCGTGGAAAGGTTTTGACGGTGCAAACGTCTTAACTTATAATCTAGGGGCAATAATGTGTTGCTAGATACCGCATATTGCTTATAGTATTGGTGCAAAGCCAATAATGTGGCCAGCTTTGTAAGTGCCTATACGGGTCACACACTTTGAACAATTTAAGAAGTAGGATTAAACAATAGGATAATAAGTAATTTGTATATTTGTAAAATAGTAAAATAAAATATTTTGGAATATAATATTATATATGTAAAACATTCGGTGATATATTTATATATGTAAATACCGATATATATATATATATATATATATATATATATATATATATATATATATATATATATATATATATTATATGTTGAATATTTTGTTTTGGTTTGTCATTTTAATTATGAAAATAATTATTTTGACATAAACTATTTAAAGTATATTTGTATACTTGTTTAAAAAATGATATGGGTATTTTTATTTGATTTAAAATTAATTTTATATTAATTTTTGGTGTCAAATAAAATACACTTTGAACATTGAAGTGGAGTAGAATTTCAAGAATCCTTCTCACTTTTTCAAATCAATTGTTCGGCCATGATATCTTTTAAAGGAACAAAAATTTCCTTGATTGATAATTGAGTGGAGCTAACTATTTTGTCATTTTGTTAATGACAAAGTCAAATTCATAATCACTTTTTCTCCTTAAATATACTACACACCATTCCATTTTATTTTTGTGTAGTGTGTCATTCGGCCATATTTTTCTAGAGAGAAGAAATATTAGTTTGGTTCCATTAATATCATTTTGTGTATAGAAAATATTTATAATATTTTCTAAATATTATTAGAAATATTTTCTACAGAAATATACAAGATTATTATTATCCCAATTTTAATCTTTATATTTTATACTACTATAATCTTTACTAGCATAAAGATTGTGGTAGACTCTGGCGTTGTTCGTGTGTCAAAGTTGGAGACCGGACACTTGAACGGTTACGTTTGCACTTTCAACGCTCTTCCTACGACCTCTTCGTTTTTACCGCTTACGGAGAAAGGTATAAATTTCTTACTCACTATAAGTTTTAGTACGTGATTCTGGGCAAGATAATCATGTTAGGATGTTAAAATGTTATATATTCCGCTGCCTATCCTTGCATGGTTACCTTTCAGTGGTATCGGAGCTAACATACAAAACTATAGTTTTACGTTTGACTTTTAAAATTTTAAAAGTCAAAGTTTTAACTTGGTAATGATTAAAATTCAAAAATTGGTAAAATGATTTTATTTAGTTTTGGAATAAGTATTGGACTTTAATAAATCATTGAAAATGAATTTTAAATTTATTTATTTTTTAAAGAAGATTTTTATTTCATACGAATAAAAGAAGTTGTTACATCACATGCAATGGCTCCCATAGAGCGTTTTGGGAGTGAAACTAATGAATGAAAATTACTAAAGGTATTCTCTTGCAAAGTGTGTTGTGCCAGATGATGTGCCGCCGTGTTAGCTTCTCGAAAGATATGATTGACCCGTCCCCCGGACCGATTTATCATTTCTCTTGTCATCCTTGTGAAGAAATCATTGTTGGAGTATTTTGTTAAAATGTCTGCGCAAATTTTGGAGTCAATATAGAGATTGACCGGGCAGTTAAGAAACAAGCTTCTACTTACTCCTTCGTATGCTGCCTCCATTTCTGTCTCAGCTGGTGGGAGGTTTGGTTGTAGAGGATAGGTCCAAGCAATAAGAAATTGGCGGTGCCTTGTGCGCAGGATGCTGGCTCCAGCTGATCTTCCCTCCCTGATTGCCGCGTCTGTTGTAAGTGTTACTCCAGTGGCTGGGAATACCCATCGATGTACAGTGATTGCGCCCATTCTAATTGAAGGTAAACTGTCATAAATTCTGATATCCAGCGTTGTTTTTCCTTTATGGTGGATGAAAATCCATTCGTAGATCTGTTTTGTGATGATTGTAATTGTGTGTGTCAAGGTGTGTTCTTCTTCCTCGTAGATCCTCCTGTTTCTTTCTTTCCATATCTCACGGGTTATGATTCCTGGAATGATATTGAGGAGTGCTTTGTTGTGCTTTTTCAGTGCACCTTGTTTCCACCAATTTGTCAAGTAGGTTAGGATTCCATGGCTGGTATTCCTGCAAATTGAAAATATTTGTTCAAAGTAGTTCCAGATTTGGTTGCTAAAAGGGCAGTTCCTGAATAGGTGGGTGGTAGTCTCCTCACTGTTCCTGCACAAGAAACAAACAGAGGGGAGTTGAAATCCCAATCTAGTTAGTGAGTGGGGAAGGGGGAGGTAGCCAAAGCACAGTTTCCAAAGGAAGAGAGAGTGTTTAGGGCTTTGTTTGGAGTTCCAGGAAAGTTTGGTGAAGGGGTGATTAGGTTGTTTCTCTCTCAAAGAATTCTTTGTCTTCTTTAAGCTGAAACCAACCTCTCCATTATGCCATAGAATTCTGCCCTGAGTGTCAATGCTCAATTGGTTATCTGCCATACTATTGACCTCATTAAGCCTTTTCCAATAGACTGAGTCAATGATTTTTGGGGCTATGGAGAGTCCCTTAGGGTATCTAGCCCTCATGAAGTTAGCCCAAAGGGAGTTGTTCTGAGTATATGTCCACCACATTTTGAAACCATAGGTGCAGAGTGTTGAGATCAGTGGATCCCAACCCACCCTCATCCTTAGGAAAGCATAGCTTCTCCCAAGAGGACCAGTGGTACTTCTTGTTGTCTTTGTCATGGCCCCAAAGAAAATTATTCATTTTGGAATGGAGACATTTGATGATGCTCTTAGTAAGTTTACTGCAGCCCAACATATGCAGTGGCATGGTGTTAAGGACATGCTTGATGAGGGTTAACCTTCCACTCTGACTGAGCAGCTTATGATACCATCCTTTAAGTTTAGTGTCAAACAAGTTAAGGATGTCATTGCAATAGGGTTTTCTGTTGATTCCATGATGGATTTGAATGCCCAGGTATTTGAAGGGGAGGCTGCTTTTGTTCATTCTGAGGATGGTTTGAATTCTTCTTTGGGTAGCCAGGGGGTCTTCTTAGGGATGTAAAAAGAGCATTTTCCCCGGTTGATTTGTTGACCAGAGCAGTCCTCATAGTCTGAAAGTAATAATTTGATGCTAGTGACAGTAGGGGAATCTCCCTTAGTGAAGAGTATAAGGTCATCAGTAAAGGCAAGGTGGGTTATAGGGGTGTAGTTCCTGCCAAGATAGTATGGGGAGAGGGCTCCAGAATTAGTTTCCTTCTTGATGGTTCTGCTGAAGGCTTCAGATGCAAGGATGAAGAGTAGAGAGGATAGAGGGTCTCCTTGTTTCAATCCTCTTTTAGGTTTGAATGCTTTAGTGTGATGGCCATTGATCAGGATGGTGAAGTGAGAGCTGTGGAATAGGTTTTGAATGAGGGCCTGGAAGGAATTGTTGAAACCAAATTTTTCTAGGACAGTGATAAGGAAATTCCAAGAAATTCTATCAAATGCCTTAGACATGTCCAGCTTGATGGCAAGATTACCACCCTAGTTTTGTAGTCAAGGCCATGGAAAAGTTCTTGTGTGAGGAGGACTTGGTCATGGATCACCCTTCCTTTTACAAACCCCCTTGTTCAGGTGAGATCAATCTGGGAAGAATGGAGCTCAATCTTTGGGAGAGGATTTTGGAGAAAATCTTGCAGCAGAAATTGGACAAGCAAATAGGTCTATAGTCCTCACAGGATTGAGAGTTTTCCTTCTTTGGGATTAGGATGATAGTTGTCTGGGCACATATTTTGGGGATAGGGATCCCCAAGAAAAACTCCTGAACAGCTTTTGTGCAGTCCACTTTGATTTGCTCCCAACAAGTTTTATAGAAATGACCATTAAACCCATCAGGTCCAGCAGCACGGTCTGCTGATAGTGACCAAACAACTTCTTTATTTCTACCCGTAATATATATATATATATATATATATATATATATATATATATATAAATATATTTTGATTTTACGAAATATATATTTATATATATTGTAGAAATAGTAAATATAATTTTATTTGGACATAAAACATCATTTTATGATTGATAAAATTATATTGTAATTTTTGAATGTATTATTTCCTATTTTGAATTTATTGTATTTATTTAGGTGAAAACCGAAAATAAATATGGGAAAATTCAAAATGAACTTTATTAAACTTGGAAATATTATTTCTAAGTTGAATAAGGTTGTTTATAAATATATTGTAAAAAAATAATATTAGTTAGTAATTAANTATATATATAAATATATTTTGATTTTACGAAATATATATTTATATATATTGTAGAAATAGTAAATATAATTTTATTTGGACATAAAACATCATTTTATGATTGATAAAATTATATTGTAATTTTTGAATGTATTATTTCCTATTTTGAATTTATTGTATTTATTTAGGTGAAAACCGAAAATAAATATGGGAAAATTCAAAATGAACTTTATTAAACTTGGAAATATTATTTCTAAGTTGAATAAGGTTGTTTATAAATATATTGTAAAAAAATAATATTAGTTAGTAATTAAATAAATATATATTTATAAATGTACTCGGTTTTATTACCGAAATATTATATATATTTATATATTTGTATATTAATTACATAAATGACTAATATATATTTTGGAAAGTTATATCTCAGTAAGAAAAAGAATGTTTTTCAAAATATTAAATTTTTATAATTTAATATTTTAGAAATCAATTTAAATGGCTTTTTATAACTTATTGAGATTTAACTAATATATTTTGGAAATAATGATTTATAAATTTTTGAAATTTTATATCCAGGTTTATAAATGTTGAAAATAATTACTGGAAGTTGAAATTTAATTTTCATGATTTTTGAAAAATTGTTTCAAAATTTTAATGGCCTTTTTGAATATAATTTTGCAAAAGGGCATTTTGGTCATTTGAAATATTTTGGAATTTTTTTTATGCTGGACGAATATTCAGATTATATAAAATGATTTTATAAAATTTTATTAGATTTATTTGGACATCTAATTTAATTTTATGAGTTTTAGAAAATATTTACTCCCGTAGTATTTTTCTAGAACTGTCTGGGGTGAGCGCGGTTCACCCGTTGTATGTATATCTCTATTGCCTGTGTGGATGTACTATATGCATGGTGGATGATTGTGGCTATAGTTTATTTGATTATAATACGGCCTGCGTGTCATGCCTTATCTTTTAAACTCTTGTTGTAAATCTATTTCTCTCTCTTACCTCAACCGAGGATTCTTTTCTCACGTGGTGGTTAGAAGATGAAAAGATTTGATGACCGTTTGGAGAAATCTAAAAGAATGGAGATAGCCCGAAGTTCAAGTGCTCGGAAGCCAGTGGGAGCTATCGTTTTTTAGGGGGCCACAATCATTACACGTTTATTTACTGCGTTTTGTGAATGCATGTTGAATGTATGTTCAATGCTAGTAATGGACATGTGCGCGGCCATGTCGATAGGTGAGATCGAAATTATAAATCCCTCACGAATATTAAGTCTGTTGCCTTCTGACGCCCGGCACCTATCCGGCTAATGTGCACTATCATGTACTCAGCCTCAACAGAGCATAGTACGGTGTATGTTAAGCTGGTTACGGGAACCGCCATAGCGTGGTCTCTGTCGCACGTTGGGTTAGAATCAAATGGATGGACGACTCAGAGGCAATAAGTTGGGGTCATCAAGGACAAGTCAGATGATTTTACTCACTCATCCAGCCAGGAGTTGGATCTTTATGATTTAATTGGAACCCTGTTCCTAACCAAAGTAGTATGTTTGTAAGACGTGCCTCAGCCACTTACACGTATGGTGAAAAGGTGTCCTGGTCCGGTTGTAGTAATATTGTTCGCCCAACACCAGACCAAGAGCTGAGAGCCCGGCTCATCAGTTGGAACTATGTTCCTACCTAAATAGTTGTCTTGTGGAGTAACGCCCAAGCGGAACGCAAGATAGGGAAATATGGATCTTGGCCCACTAGAGGTTTCGCCGGAAATCTCCGAATCAATATTGAAGGTTATTGATTTGTTAAAAATAGTGGGAGATAATTAATTAAAGGCCTAATTAATTATTAAACATGATAGATAACCTAGTTTGCAAAATTTTCTGTATATGGCAAACAACAACAACCCTTTCAACCTGCGTTACATCCTGGAAAACAACAAGTTATCTGGGACCAACATTCTTGACTGGGAGATGAATCTCCGAATCGTTTTTAACTATGAGAGGAAACTCTACATCATCGAAACGGATCCTCCCAAGACCCCTGATGCTAATGCTCGTGCGTCCGAACTCACTTCCTTCAAGAAGTATGAGGATGACGCGCGAGATGTAAAGTGTATCATTATGGCTAGTTGACTGCGGAGCTCCAAAGGCTCCACACGGACATGGAAGTGCGTCCTTTGATACAATGCTTAAGAGACCTTTACTAGGGTCAGCCCCAAAACTCAAGTATTTACGTTATCGAAGTCAATATGTCTGATATCACCTCTTGGGTGATGGAAACTGGATGTGGTTCCCACATCTGTAACTTGCATGAATGTAGACAATTGACGGAGGGAGAGATACAACTAAAAGTTGGCAATGGCGCACTCGTCTATGCATTGACCGTCGGAACCTATAGTTTATCTCTATCTAGTGGTCTTATAATGCATTTGAATAATTGTCTGTTTGTACCTAGTATAAGCAGAAACATCATTTCTGTATCCTGCCTTGAAAAAGTAGGATTTTCGTTCGTTGTAAAAGACAAAATTCTTTGTCTTTAGAAATGATATATTTCAACGGTCTCTATATCCTTGACATGGATACCGCAATATATAACGTAGATGTTAAGAGAAACAAACCTAACAGTTTGAATCTCGGGTACCTATGGCATTGTCGTTTGGGCCACATTAATGAGAAACGCATATCTAAGTTACATCACTCAGGTGTACTTGATTCATTTGACTTCCAGTCATATGATGTATGTAAATCTTGTTTACTTGGTAAAATGACAAAGGCTCCATTCACCGGTTACGGTGAAAGGGCGAGTGACTTATTGGGTCTCATACACTCCGATGTGTGTGGTCCAATTAGCACTGTAGCTAGAGGTGGTTATTCTTACTTCGTTACATTTACTGACGACCTTAGTAGATATGGATATGTGTATCTCATGAAACACAAATCGGAATGCTTTGACAAATTCAAAGAATTCAAGAACGAAGTAGAAAAACAATTAGGCAAAAGTATTAAGACCCTCCGCTCGGATCGAGGAGGTGAATACTTAAGCCTGGAGTTCGATGACTATCTGAAAGAGCACGGGATCTTATCCCAACTCACTCCTCCGGGGACACCTTAGTTAAATGGAGTGTCTGAGAGGAGAAATCGGACTTTGCTAGACATGGTCCGGAGCATGATTAGTCTAACAACATTGCTAGAATCATTTTGGGGATATGCATTGAAAACAGCAGCACACACACTCAACAGAGTTCCATCTAAAGCTATCGAGAGCACACCATACGAACTATGGCGTGGGAGAAAACCGAGTTTCTCGTACTTTAAGATTTGGGGCTGTGAAGCTTATGTAAAATGTCTCATGACGGCTAGTAAGTTGGAGCCTAAATCTGATAAAGTAATTTTTGTGGGATACCCCAAGGAAACTAGAGGGTATGAGTTCTATCATCCATCCGATAACAAAATTTTCGTTGCTCGGAATGGAACCTTCCTTGAGAAGGAGTTTCTTTCTGTTATCATTAGTGGGAGAAAGGTAGACCTCGAAGAAATTCGAGAACCACAAGAGGAAATCCCGATAGTGTTGGAACCTGAGAAAAGAGATCAAGCAATTGAACCTCAAATTGCTCAAGATATACCACGTAGGTCAGACCGGATACGTAATCCTCCGGTCAGATATGGATTTCTCATGTCTGATGAAGGTGACGTCTTGTTGGTAGATTAAGGCGAACCAGAGACCTACCTCGAGGCAATTACATGCCCCGAATCCGATCTATGGTTCGAAGCCATGAAATCTGAAATGGAGTCTATGTACACAAACCAAGTCTGGACCTTGGTTGATGCGCCCGAAGGGGTAAAACCCATTGGATGCAAGTGGGTCTTCAAAAAGAAGACAGACGTAGACGGGAAGGTTCATACCTTCAAAGCTAGATTTGTAGCAAAAGGTTATAGACAAATCCACGGAATTGACTATGATGAAACCTTTTCTCCAGTTGTTATGTTGAAATCCATTCGGATAATGCTTGGAATTGCAGCCTATTACGATTACGAAATTTGGCAGATGGACGTCAAGACGGCTGTCTTTCACGGGAACCTCAAAGAGGATGTTTTTATGACACAGCCTGACGGTTTTCAAATTGCTGGTCAGTCTGCCAAATTTTGTAAGCTGCAACGTTCAATCTACGGATTGAAACAAGCATCTCGGAGTTGGTACATACGCTTCAACGAAACCATTTCCAGTTTTGGTTTTGAGAAGAACTCTAACGAATCTTGTGTATACAAGAAGGTCAGTGGGAGTGTAATAGTATTCCTAATCTTATATGTCGATGACATATTGTTAATGGGTAACGATATTCCCGCTCTCACTTCTGTAAAGACGTGGTTGAGCGAGAACTTCTCCATGAAAGACTTAGGAAATGCTAGTTATGTCCTTGGCATAAGAATCTACCGAGATAGATCAACAAAGTTAATAGGTCTGAATCAAAGTACATATATAGATAAAATCCTTGATCGATTTAGCATGTCTAACTCAAAGAAAGGATCTTTACCTATGACACCTGGCACTGTTCTTTCCAAGAGCCAGATTCCTTTTACTCCCGAGCAGAAGGAACTCATGATGAAGGTTCCATACGCCTCTGCGATTGGATCCATCATGTACGCCATGATATGTACTAGACCTGATGTCTCATTCGCTTTAAGCGTGACCAGAAGATACCAGGGAAGTCCAGGAGAAGCACACTGGACAGCGGTCAAGAACATCCTCAAGTATCTTCGCAATACTAAGGATGCATTCCTGGTATACGGCGGTGAGGAAGAGCTAAAGGTGGTCGGTTACACTGACGCTAGCTTCCAAACCGACAGAGACGATTCAAAATCACAAGAAGGATATTTGTTTTGCCTGAATGGCAGAGCTTTTAGTTGGAAAAGCTTCAAGGAGGATACAACCGCCGATTCGACTACAGAGGCTGAGTACATAGCTGCTGCCGAGGCAGCAAAAGAAGCTGTTTGGATCAAAAAGTTCATTACTGAACTTGGAGTGGTTCCTAGTATTAATGACCCTATCTCGTTGTTTTGCGACGACACTGGGGCCATTGCACAGGCAAAGGAACCGCAATCTCACCAGAAAACCAAACACATTGTACGATGCTATCACATCATACGAGAAATCGTAGATAGAGGAGATGTGATGATTTGCAAAGTAGATACTGAAGACAACATAGCCGATCCCTTGACCAAGCCTTTAGGAAAGCTAAAGCATGAGGGTCACACTAGGTCCATGGGCATTCGACCGATGCCAGATTGGCCATAGTGCAAGTGGGAGATTGTTGGAGTTGTGCCCTGATGGCCAACTGTTCATTGTTATCCTATCATGTATAGGCAGATATAATATGTTTACACATCTCATGCTTATGTAAACGAATATTATATTCCTAGATTTCTATTTAAAGATGTTTATCAGATAGTGTTATTCTGCTGATGAGACTAACATCTTGAAATAAATATTTATCTGAATGTCCATAGTCAAGTATTAACGAGAGTGGGATATCATTAATGCATGTGAGACTAGTGTGTGTTGGATGTTTGACTTAGTCTCATAGTCAATGTAATGCCCTACAAACCGGCCTAGTTTTAAATAAATAAATATTATTTATTTATTGAGACTCATTATTTTAAAATTAATAAATATTGAGATTTTGACCTCTTTAAATGGCTTTTCAAAGCTAATGTATTTTAATATAAAAAGATGTTTTAATAATGGACCACTCAACATTAATTAAATAAATTAATTAATGATTGGGATGGACCCGGAAGTTTGAAAATAAAGTTACTAGAGAAATTATTTGAACATGTCATTCAATTCGTTTTGACTGTGTGATTCCAAAAACACAAGCGGATCTCAATTCGGACCCGTTCGGGGGAAACAGTGCGTACCATTCAGGTCAGATTTTAACATAACAGAGTAAAATAAATTTGTGTAACCCCCATCATCCATACGCCACACACACATTCTTCATCTTCCATAACCCCCCACCATTCATTTCTCATCTTTATCACCATTAACTCCTCCATTATAAAACACCCTCTTCCCTTCACCTCCTTCACCAACTTGTAACTCCCATTCAACAACACAACTCTTCCTCTCCCCTCCTTTGTTCGGCCCACAGCAGCAGTTGGGCGAGAAGGTTCCGGAGAGTTGACGGGAAGGTAGAAGTTCATGCAGGAAGTTCGTTCGTCGTTCAACCATTTGTTCGTCTCGTCTCATCGTTTCGTCAACCCCTTCATTTAGAGGTGAGTAGTTGTCCCCTCTAGTTCTAGAACATTTAGTTATAATCTATGTCGTTATATTCATAGCAATATCGTACGCAACCTACGTAGAATCTATGCATGTTCGTAGGTTAGCCATCAAAACGTTCACTACGTAAAACTTATAAATATTGGCCTAGGAATCATTAGGAATATATTCATTAATGTTTGTATTATTTTTTTAAAAAGAATCAAGGTCTTAAGGTTGCAAAATGGATCAAAACGTAGCCAAAGACAGAAGACTGTCACCAGGACGGTCGACCGTTACTTCAGACGGTGGACCGTACCCTCGGCCAGTCCAACGGTCACCGCCAGGACGGTCGACCGTCACCCATGACGGAAGACCACGGTGGACCGTCTTTGACCCAGACCCCAGACCATAGCCCACGGTTGACCACCGGTAGGGTACGGTCGACCGTTCCGCGGGCAGATTTCGGGTAGTCTGTAGAACGAGCCCCATTTGACCAGTTTGACTCGGAATCTGATTGTGTGTTTGCATGAAATGTTAATATTCATTATGTGTGTAATTTAATTGATATATTCTTGGCGTTGACCAAAGGTAAATACATCAAGCATTCATCATGTTCATTCTAGACGCATGTACTAGGATCATCATCATGTGCATACCGCTGTAGGGAGGTCAGGCTTTCGTGCGCCTACTACAGTGGGCCCGTCCAGGAACCTTTGGGATCCAACGGGTTTTCATCAGGTGGGCTTTGTGTACGTACATGGTAGTCAGGCTACGGCTACCACACGGTTTTTGCTAGTTCACTTGCGACGTTTTGTCGAGCCCGAGTCATTACCGGAGTGCAGGGGTGATCCTGTCAAGTGAGACTAAGTCAGGGGTGTCCCTAATAGCTCAAGACATGCATCAAGTCATATTGTCATCATGTATGTTTCATGTCACGTCAACATTCAATGTGGTTGTCATCATCATGTCCATATTCAATGCGGTTGTTATTCATTTTGTTATGTGTAATAATATCCCATCAAGTGCGAATTAATCAGCTAGCAAACATGTGGTTTTCCGTACGTTAAGTACAGGTATTTATATGTGTATAACCATATGGGTTATCACTTCATGTTCTTTTGTTAGATTCACTCCTCAGCTTTTGCTGAGCGTGTAGTTGTTTTTGCTACACACAGGTAGACATGACGGTGCAGGTGCTAACCCTGGAGGACAGTGATGGTGGGAAGATGAGCGGCGCATGGACAAGTTCAATAATTAAATACGTTTAATTAATTAATCAATTGGGCATGAACCCACCATTTGTCGTTTTACTCATTTATTTACTTCCGCTTTTACTCTGCATTTATATCACACACGTTATGGGGTTAACTCCCTAGCATTTATTTCACTAATTAAAACACAACCGTTTTCATAATAAATAGTCATTAATGTTCTTTTCTCTACTGACGGTTCTCGGACCGCCCATGTAACCCTACCGGTCCGTTGGGTCGCGGGTGAACCGGGTCCGCGGAAGGTGGGTGTTACAGTCAATGACGGTGTGTTCGCATCCGCACATGGGCAGATATTATCTGGAGATAATAGGATGCCGGACTGACCCATCCTAAAGATGTTGCTTGAACTTTTAGTTAATGCTCTAAGCATCTTTAGCGCGACCACGGGTGTAACTATCCTTCGACTTGAAGTATTACGTTTTCTGCATATGTGAACCCGCATACTTTGATGCATTGTCCTAAGCCATATGAAATAAGGATGGTATACAGGCTTTGTTTTGGGTATGCCGCAGCGCGTATTCAGAAACGTATACTTGTTTAAAAAATGATATGGGTATTTTTATTTGATTTAAAATTAATTTTATATTAATTTTTGGTGTCAAATAAAATATACTTTGAACATTGAAGTGGAGTAGAATTTCAAGAATCCTTCTCACTTTTTCAAATCAATTGTTCGGCCATGATATCTTTTAAAGGAACAAAAATTTCCTTGATTGATAATTGAGTGGAGCTAACTATTTTGTCATTTTGTTAATGACAAAGTCAAATTCATAATCACTTTTTCTCCTTAAATATACTACACACCATTCCATTTTATTTTTGTGTAGTGTGTCATTCGGCCATATTTTTCTAGAGAGAAGAAATATTAGTTTGGTTCCATTAATATCATTTTGTGTATAGAAAATATTTATAATATTTTCTAAATATTATTAGAAATATTTTCTACAGAAATATACAAGATTATTATTATCCCAATTTTAATCTTTATATTTTATACTACTATAATCTTTACTAGCATAAAGATTGTGGTAGACTCCGGCGTTGTTCGTGTGTCAAAGTTGGAGACCGGACACTTGAACGGTTACGTTTGCACTTTCAACGCTCTTCCTACGACCTCTTCGTTTTTACCGCTTACGGAGAAAGGTATAAATTTCTTACTCACTATAAGTTTTAGTACGTGATTCTGGTTATCTTTCATGGCTGTTCCGCTCACCCATGTCCCCCTCTCGTGTCCCATGCAACTCATGCGTAACAAACACACGAACCAATTAACTTACCTACCTTTCCTTTTTTCATGGTGGGAATTCTTCGATGGTTGTACCTGGAAATGTTGTTCGTTTTCCAACATCTTCTCCATTAGTAACAAAAAAAGCAAATTGGTGCATTTGGGAGGTAAAGATGATGCGTTGTCATAATCTAGAATCCCAATTACTCCTTTATTTAGTAGTCCACTTCAAAAAAGACCCCATATTTGGTACGGAGAAAAATACTGGTACGATGTTCAACATTGTCGAAGGGTGTGTCACTACGAAGCACATAATTTAGACCACCATGCTTAAAAGAATCAGCAGCAGTTCATTGACCTATTTGAAATGCCACAATATGTAAATAAGTATTAAAAGAATGTTTATATGATATTAAGTCACTTCAAGATTCAAGACCAACAATTGTTATTGGTGTTTGACATGGGAAATAGAGGTTTTTTAGCGAATTGTGATTCTCGTGTGGCCTTAAGCACCTATTTGTATATGTAACAAATAGTAATGTTATGATTAAAGTGCAGCAGATCATAAGAACCCAAATTTTGTTCGGGACATATCCAACAAAAATAGGAAACCCAATAGTTGTACGTGGTGCAAGAAGGTGTGATACTAATCAAGACACACCTCCTCATTGAAGACACCACCAAGAGCAGACAAACCAAGAAGCACGTGAGGCTTGAACTTTTTACCCTGTGAAGCATTTTATACTCTTTGTTAGTTTTGAAATGATAAAAGTATCTATTTTCAAATCATAGGAAAAACGAAATTGTACTTTCTAAACAACCTCGACATATTCCACTAAACATACTCTGTGTTGCCACTCGTGAAGTCCTAGTCCCTCGATTTTATGTTCGTCTTTAGCAAATGGCACGGGTGGTGACTGGTGATATATTTATACGTCGAACTTGTTCTTTCATTTTTATGGAATAGGAAAAGATTATGCTATGTGTACCCCAAGTTTTGTACCCCAATTTGTACCCTGCAGTTTTGCACCAACACTTTATGTTGGTGTAAAACTAATTTTTGTTAAACGCACCAACATTTGTGTCCGTGTGAAATTTTATTAACGCACCAACACTTGTGTCGATGTAAACCATCGAAATGTTTGTGCAAACCTGTGGTGTACAAATTGGGTATATTTTTTGGTGTAAGTGTAGCATGGTCCAATAGGAAAAGATGAGGATTTGCCATTGGTCCAAACTCTAACGCCCCAAAACATGACCTAAACATTATTTTATGATAAAAGAATTTCAAAACAATACTTTGACCCAACAAAATATTATTTCTATGTTTGACAAAAAATGAAGAAATTATTGGAGTAAATGATTTTTTTTGTTAAAGTTGAGTTTTATGGATGGGTCTCAAAGAGACGAATCCAAGAGTATATTTTATGAATAAATCTGATGTACAGATTTTGAGTTGTGACATTTTTCATATGTAATTTGCATAAAAATGAAAAGTGGTTAAAGATGTGAACTTTTGAAAAATGATTTATTGAAATAAATTATTTAAATTGAATAATACTGATTGAATATGAGAGTAATTTTAATTACATATCCATTAATTCAATTTTGACTATGTCAAAGTCAACACCAAAAAATATGGTGTCAGAAAAAGTATTTCAGAAAAATATGAAAATTGTATCGTAGCGTAGAGCTTGATTGTATCATCGCAATGGGGCAATCGGATTTCAATTTGGAGAAAGTTGGACTAAAAATTGCACCCCAACTCAGATAAAATTTGTCAAAGTCAGTAGAGAATCATATATAATCCCACTACCTCCACCACTTCCGTATTGAAGGATTTTCAAGATCAAGCAAAATCATCAAAATCATCACCATCTTTGGCTTCTTCCTTCTTCCATCACCCTATATAAAGAGACACTCAACTCTTTAAAATCTAAACCATTCTCTACCATTCTTCTTCCATTCTATTCCTTGTTGTGAGGAGAGCAGGCCGCAAGTGATCGACACCGACGAAGTCACCGGAGGTAGCCACGATTCTTGCCGGAAGTTGCCCCGGAAAGTTGAATGAAGAAAACATCCATTGTGCAAATCAACCCACTTGTGAGCATTTTTAAACCCTCTAAACCTCGTTGTTTTAATCTGGTTTCTGAATGAAAGTTGTAGTCTTATGTCTTACGAATCCGTAGCTTCAAACGGTTCGCGATTTCGTTGAGTAACGAAGGAGATATGACCCAAAAACCAGGGCTGGTATATTTGAAAATATAAATATTTTTATATTCATAATCACCAAAAATGGTTTGTTGTTAAAGTTTCAAATAAATTGTTTGTGATATATGGACGTTAGAAAACATTTTTATGTAGTTAGTTTAAATCTTAAAAGCTTAAATGGTGTTTTGAGAAATTTGATCGAAGGTTGAAGATGATGAAAAGTGACTGCGTCTCTCTTGCGTGTATACGGTAGCTATATACCGTTAAAACGGTACCAAAGTACCGTGTCACGTACCAAGGTACCGTCTCCATGTACTGTACGACGAGAATTTTTCCAAAACTGTAAGGTCGATCATTCAAACCCAACGGTCAACCGTTACGAATATTTTAAGGCCAAAAATGCTATGTTTGAAGCTATAAAATCCTATTTTTTATACCAATCAATTAGGATCAATATGAAAATGATTTCTGTTGGACATGAGTTCAAACCCCTTTATTATTTTTGGAATATTTTTGTTTTGATGAATGACAAACACGATGATTAAATTCAAATCTGATCGAAAATTTATTTTTCGTATCGAGAAAAGCAAAGAGGTGTATCAAGATTCCGAAGATTTTTTATTTTTTTTTGAGTCTAGGAATTTTTGTAAGGATGACAATTATTTTTGCATAAACAAATTATTTTTGAGGGATAAAAAAAATTTATTTTCTGAGTGAGTTGAAAAATTGTTTTTCTCTATCTAAAAATATTTTACTGAGTCAGTTTCAAAATAGTGTGTCAAAATTTCTTAAAAATACTTTTTAAGGACAAATCTTTTGTGGTAAGAAAAGTATACTTTAAATATTTTTTTTGTGTACGTCGTTTGACACACAAAATAATTTTTTGACTCACTTTTTTTCCCCTATTCAAATTCATTGAATAGGATATTTTTTTGAGGAGCGTGCTTTGATATTCTCATTGTCTCAACTGGCCTATTCTCTATTTAATCGATTAATAGTCTTTTTTTAATCGATTAGATCACGTTTCTTTTCGCTGGATTTCTCAGGCCTTATATTTAATCGATTTATTCCTCTCATTTAAACGATTAGTTGAGACAGCCACATCTAATCGATTTTTCTCTCTTTTTTAATCGATTAATTCCATCTTTGCATACAGGCCTTTTTGCTTCTGTACACTTTAATCGATTAAAGTTCCTAATTTAATCGATTAATTCTGTCTGGTGCCTATTCTCAGTACTTTTCAGTGGCTCCAACGGATTTTTTATCCTTAGCCTATTTAATCCCTCTTTTCCCTTCATTTCTAGACACAACTCTTGCACTCCAATATATTCATTGAGCTATATCCTTCTCTTGCTTCATCTTCCTCATCAAATATTATTTTTGAGAGTTAGAAATATTTTTTATTGAGTGCTAAAGATATTGTCATCCATAGAGCTTTCATATTTCAACACTTCTTGCTCAATTGTGTGAACTTTCATTCTTGTGTTGTAAACTCAATCCTATTTGAGTGTTGCTAAGACTTGTGTGATTCAAGTCTTGTTGTTGTTAAGGCTTGTGTGACTCAAGTCTGGTTGTAAGAAGTTGAGGCTTGTGTGATTCAAATTCTCGAGTTGTACCGGTTTTTCAAGCACTCGTTGAAGCTTGAAGTTTAGTAGGACTTTCGAGAGAGTCTCTCGGAGGACTGGACTAGCCACGAGGTGGTGAACCAGTATAAATCTTGGTGTTCTTCTTTCCCTTACTTTTTTAATTTATTCCTGCGATTTTTATATCACACACGCGAAACAACGCAGATTCTTGGAAACAACTCTATTCACCCCCTCCCCCCTCTAGAGTTGCACATTTGTCTAACAATTTCTCGAAATATGATATTTTGACAAATTCAAGAACCCTATGTAATGTATGACGGTAAGCTAAAGTTTTAACACTCGATACTAGGCTATTACTTATTATTGGATATTATGATGATTATTATTAAATGTAGATTTTGATCAAACCTTGATGAATATTCTGATTAATCATCAATACATTAACCTAGAATTAGTTTAAAAATTAAATTGGCCTTAGACTAAGAATAGTTTAAGAGCATTACTTAGATTTGGCCTTAGCTTAGAATAAGTTAAGAGCAATTATTTTTGATAAAACTTGATATGAAATTATGTGTGACAAATGATGAATATTGTGATAATAAAAATGACATGTGGTTATTGTGAACTGTGGACTTATTCCAATATAAATTTGAATGATGTTGTTAGTTATCATTGTTAAAATTACAAAGACAAATCTAAATATGAAAAGCGAATATTTGAACATATATATATGTGATTGGTATTGTTTAAGAAATTATTCTGTAAATTCTTTAGGTGTACCATGGTACCACTCAGCTTCATTGCTGAGCGTGTAGACTTTTTCATCTTTCTACACGTAGGTATAAGAGAAATAAATGTGGAGCCTATTCTGGAGAATACTGAGATGGAGGTGATGCGTGGACATGAACAAATATACTATAAGTAAATTATTTTATCACATGGGTTGACAATACTGTTGTAGTTTACAAATTGTTTCCGCACCGTTTCAAATAATTTTACTCCGATTTAATTATGAAATATTTTGTACAATTGTTTGATATAAAGTTTTTAAATTTTAGAAAATTTTACGTTACCAAGTTAATACTTTAGTCCGAAAGGGGCTGCAGACCTAAACGGATTAGGTTGTTACAATTTGGTATCAGAGCAAATGGTTTTAAAATCGGTTTTCGGACCATTTGACAATTTTGTTTTCAAAATTGTGCATCCGCATCCTCCACTTGATCTCCGCTCCAGGAAGGTAATAAATTATTGTGTTGTATGAAAATATGTTATTTGTTTTTTTAAAAAATATATAGATTATTTTGACATTTTTAGATATTACTAAAAAAATAAATTGTGACATATTTTACAAATGAAAGTTGGTTATACAAAAGTATATACTTGTTGGTTTTGAAAATTCATACATTGAATTCCTGCAAAGAATTAAATAATTAAAAAAAATTAAAGTGCCTGTTTGTTTGCCAAATGTCATTATGAAATTTTCTTGAAAAAAATGTTTCAAAAAGATTATGTAAATTATTATTACACACCAACAATCTCCCCCAGCAACACTCGGGGGATTCGAGCCTGCTTCCTCGCTCCGATACCACTTGTAGGATCATTTTCTGGAACTTCCCAGTGGGTCACCCATCCTAGGACTATTCCCGTTCCAGCACGCTTAATTACAGAGTTCTGAAGTTAAAGAGGTGCCAAATGCTTCCTAAAACCAATTGGTGATAGGAATGTGGACACTTTGTATTTAACCACATCTCTGTAGCCCCAAGCCGAGGTAAATTCCTATAGGGCACCCCCTATAGTTCACTACGGCAGAGCGGAGCCCCACTACTGAGTGGTGGATGGAGAGGAGGGGCTTCGCAAGATACACGACTCGTGTACCTCGTTAGGTTGGGCTGTCAGTACCCGATACCGTGACTAGCACAGTAGCAAATCCCTAAGGGTGATCGATGGTCCCCCATAAGACCAACACCAATTGTTAGATAAGGCGTGCAACTCTAGAGGGGGGTGAATAGAGTTGTTAAGAATGTTTACCGATTTTCGCAGGATTGATAATATGAACGTAAGTGCAGCGGAAATAAAATAGAGAAGGCAAGAACACACCAATGTATATTGGTTCACCACCTTGTGGCTAGTCCAGTTCCCCGAGAGACTCTCTCAAAGCTACCACTACTTCCGTTAAGCTTACGGGTGCTTAACAAACCGTTTACAACTCGAGAACTTGAATCCCACAAGCCTCGACACAGCCGCTCGTAGATATGCCCTCTACAAGACTTCACAACCAAGACTTAAGTCAGATAAGTCTTGAACAACAAGAAGAACAATTTTATTCAACCTCACAACAATGACTCTCACAAGAGTAGAAATGAGAAAAGATTAAGCTCTATGGATGACAAGAACACTCTCTTTAAAATATAATTTTCTCTCAAAATAATATAAATTTGAGGAAGTATTGATGGAGGATTAACACCTCAAGAATGGGGAGTATTGGAGTGTTTCTTGTTATGAAAAATGACCAAGGAGTCAAGTTTATAAAGGGGTTGAAGGAATATATCCGTTGGTCCAAGAAAAGAAGCTGTGCAGAAAGGATGCAGCATAATAATCAATTAATGCAGTGTAATAATCGATTAATGCATCATCCTCAACGATTAATTGTTGGACAATGTGCTATCATGAATATGTATTTTTGCATTGTCCTTTGCCCATTGTTTTTTAGGTTTTGATAATGACAAAAGAGTGACAAAATATCATCATCATTTTGTGCATCAAGGCTAAGAATCAAAGCTACAACAAGTTCATATCCGTCCGTGAAGAAGGGACTTGAGCATCGGTGGAAGGAACGAGACCGAAGAGGTTGTTTCCTTAGTTGGGTAGTGTTTTAGGTCTTAGATTATGTGTTAAAGAGTATGGCATCTCTAAGGTTCATTCCCTTATCATCTTACCTTTAAAACTCATTTTAGATCAGCCTTTGTGTGGGGAAGTTGCCTTTCTATTTGAATAATCTTTAGTTTATTCGAATAAGTCGTGATTATCTTGAAGAGAACACTTAGAACACTTTGAAGAACATATCCTTTGATTATCCAAAGAGATTCTACTCAATCCCCTCCTTATATCCAAGTAAGGCAATTGTTTTGATTGCTAAATCATTTCTTGCTTGAGTTTTTCCTCATTGCTTGAGTCTTTGAGAGATATTGCCATATTCTAAAGGACTTCATTGTATTTGCAACAATCTACTCCGTGTTGGGAGAATTACTCGGTTGCGGTTTGTTTTCTTACTTTATTGTAAGGGATTTGTATTCTTGGTGTTGGGATTACACCAAGTGGTAGAAATCCTAACGGTTTGTGAAATCAAACGTTAGGTGGAAGAAATCCTGAGTTTTGTGAAATCAAAACTTCGGTGGTAAGATAAGAGGCTTGTGAAATCAAGTTCTCGAGTTGTATTCGGATTGTCAAACTCCGTTAAGTTTGACGGGTTAGTGAAGGCCTGGGCACGATTGCTTCGGGGACTGGATGTAGGCATTTAGGCCGAACCAGTATATATCGTGTGTGCATTGCTCTTATCCTTCACTTTACTTTGTTTGTGGTGCATTGATTTTATTGAATATTCGTGAAGAACGTTTACACACAAAAAAACTGGTCTTTTGGGCAACACCTCTATTCACCCCCCCTCTAGAGGTGTGCGAGGCGTCTAACATTAATGCAGCTGAAGGAAAATTGATTAAATTAAAGGGATTAATCGATTAGAAGGCTCTATGTGAACTAATCGATTAAAACAAAGATAAAAATCGATTAGATCAAAAGGCCAGGCAGTCCTTCGCTAGTCAAGGTAAATTAATCGATTAATTTAAGAAATTTAATCGATTACAAAAGGAATAATGGCGCAAACACAAAGGGCCCAACCCAGTTGCGATGGAGAACAGAATTGGCATAACACTCGTTGTTTGAGACAACGGGAATTAGAGAACGCTCCTCCTCTTATTCAATGAATTTGAATAAGGGAGTAAAAGTGAGTCCAAAAATTATTTTGTGTGTCAAACCATGTACACGAAAAATATTTGAATAAAATATTTTCTAATACCAAAATAAATATTTTGATAAATGTTTGACAAACTTTTTGTAACTGACTCAATAAATGTATTTTGAACAGTTAAAAGGATTTTTTAACTGACTCCAAAAATAAATATAGTTTTTATTTTAACTCTCATAAAAGTAATTTTGGAGAGAAGATATTTTTCTCATCCTTACAATAATTCCTAAGACTCAAATAAATAAAAAGTCTTCGGAAATCTTCTACTACTCCGAGTCCTCCGTTAGGCGCTCCGGACGCGTCTCGGACTTCAACAAAATCCCGTGCACCTTCTTGAATACTTCATGGAATGGCACTTCAAGTCTTCGTGATTTTCGTTGTAGCACTTTAATCTTGACTTGAATAAATTGTGTTTGTCAATTATCAAAACCTGTGAGTCAACACTAAACAACACAAAAAGGGTTGAACTCATGCATTCCAACAAAATGTTTTTGAAACAATTGTGAGATGAAAAAAAGGTGTTATGAACATCTATAAAAATGTGATAGTGATATTTGAAATGTATTTTAAAATTAAATTGATATTTTGAGCCACTTCGTGAATAAATAATGTTAATCAATATTTTTGTTCTTAAGAAGAGATTTGAATCAAACTATCATTATGAGTCATTATTTTTACAAAAAAAATATATGTTGAAAGATGTTTCAAAAAAAATTGAAAAGTCTTTGTACGATGAGATTATTTAAGACAATATGGTTTACAAAAGTAATATGTTTATGCAACCCTTAAATCTTGTTTAAAATACCTATACGAATTGTTTTGTATACCAAATAATTTGATAAATTAATTTTGTCTAACTAACCATGTGACAACAAATATTCTTTTTATTAAAAAAACACTACTGATGAATTGTTTAATAAAATAATTAGATTTTGATTTCATAGAATTTAAACGAAATTGTTTTGACAAACCACTTTATCAAAAGTGGTCTATGATTGAACCACCAAATGTTGTTAAAAAAAATCAAGGAATTGAATTTTCTTATGAATGGTAAGTTGTGTCACTACTAAATGATTTTATTAAAATAACTCTTGATATTAATTGCGATTGATTTCATATGAAAAGTTATTCGACAAATATTTGTTTTTAAAAGAGTTATTCTAAATGATTGAGAAAATGATTGAAATTAATAGAGATTATCCAGTTGAAAGTGATTTTGGAATTATATTAAATTATAAACCAAAGTTTGATAAATATGACATTTTCTGAACATGGTTAATTCTTAATGAAAATTGTTTCATAAAAACATTATATGTTAAATATTAAAAAAAAACAAGTGTGTGTATTTAAAGCTATTGTATATTGAAGTTAATTTTAAAAGAAAATGTTGGGACTTATTTTGAAAACCATACAAAATAGATTTGTTGAAAATGATTTATGTGAGCATTTTGATTTATCATTTCGAAGGAAATAAATTTAGAATATATGATTTGGGACTAAAAAAACCAAAACAGATTGTTGAAAGCTTTGTGTAAGCATTTTTCTTTAATCATTGTGAAGAAAGAATATATGTTTTGAAACTCAACAAATTTTTGGTGGTTGTTTAAAATATGTTTATTATGGAGTGTTAATTTAGATAAAAATTCTTTAAGATTTTACTCTGAAATGAATTCATATCAGCAGAAATAATATTTTATGTGGTATCATAGATACTATAATAAATTATATTTTGTTTACTGTGGGAATTCAAAGAAAAAATTTTAGTGTGCATAAGAACACAAATACGTGAGCATGTTGTTATGTTTCAAAAGGAATTAATTAAAAAATTGTGAGAAAGACTTTTGAACGAAAATATTCTTGAGAAAATTACTAGCATAATTTTTCTTAAGAACACCAATCAAATTTCGTGGGTACGCACTTGATGGGATTAACCCGATCAGATGGCGGACTAAGAACGGAATAAGAATCAAGATAAATATAATCTCGTAATAATGTTCTCAATTGGGTGTGTCATCCATTCCCCCTTTTCCCCCCTTTTATAGTACTTCTAGTTTCTCAGTTAAAGTTACACATAATAGGAAGGCTTATGGAGATCATGGGGTTGTGATTCCCTTCTTTTCTGGTCTTGATCTCTTTCCATTTCCCCCACGATTTGGGGTGTGGGCCACGTGCCCTATTCCTTTCTCGGACTGGACTGTCTCAAATTAGCCATGATTGGGCCGTCTGCCTCGTTACCCATATTCTCCTTGATGGGCCTGGTTCGTTACGCGCACCTGGATTTGTTTACCTTGCACGTTTGTGGGCCTTTATCGGGCCTAGAGTCGGGTTCTTCAGACCCGATATCCATCACAAGCCCCCTAGTTTTCTGGCGACGTGTCGCTAGGAAACTAATGATGAACCGCCTTCGGTTTTCGTGTCAGATTAGAAACGTCGCACTCGAGTGCCTTGAGTCTCTTCTCACAACGGATATAACCCCTTCTGGACTCATCCTCTTCTTTCTACGTTGCCAAATCTTGACCCGACCCGAATTCCGACTGCAATTGCCCCCAAATTCTCGTTTCTTTCTCCGAAATGGCCCCCCTCCATTGAACCTGCAACTTGGGTCCATTAACCCTCTATCATCAAAGAGGATGAATTTCAAGAAATGGCGGAATCCCTGGGCAAAGGATTTGGGATTCACGATCCTGATGCTGTCGGGGGATCAGTCTTACTCATAATCCGGATCCCCAGAAATAGATGGTCATGGATTAACACTCGGTGGGGAATGGGTTCAGGTTGGCCCTCCATGGTTTAGTTCGCGACATCTGCCAGACCTTCGAGTTCCCCCCTGGTCAATTGACCGCGAATGCACACTAATATGTCGCATCCTACATCTTGCGGTGCTGTGCCCGGGATAGGACCCCAAGTCTAGACGAATCTCTCGCCCTTTTCAGCATCGGTGGAGTTTTCCCTTTCTACAGTGTGTTTCCTCATCCCAAGTTCCCAGTTTTTGAGAAGGTTGAGGCCAAAATTGACAGATGGGCCCGCCGCTACTTCATCATTGAGTTCCCGGTCCATAGCCCTATAGATCTGCCAGGAGTATTACGCCGTGGTTCCCTCTCCCAGACTCCATTCCTGGCCGCACCCTAGGTGGAGGGAGTGTAAAACGCCCTGAGAGAGGAAAGGGGGCTGATTTTACATCATTCCCTTCAGGACTCCGGATTGTACAAGAAGGCGGATTTCTACTATCCTCTGGGCCCTGACCCTATCCCATTTGAGGGGGTATCCTCCCCTGGGAGGTCAAAGGCTTCTCCCACTATGGGATCTCCTCCAGTTGAAGATCCCTCTGGGGACGAGGCTCAAGGTGGTTCTACTACTTTGGTAGTTTGCACACCATCTGTCGCCCTGGATGCCGTCCCCATCTCTGCCATTCCTGGGCTAAGGAGGCCCATGCCATCCCAGAAGCAGCCACAGGAAGGGATAACTGATGATGACTTCCTTCCTAAGAAGAGTAAGGGTGATAGCACTCTCGCTTCGCCCATCCCCCTGACTGCTTCTTCTGGCACTCAAGCCGCCACTATCGTTGTCGCATCTGTAGAGCTGGAGTTACCCAACCTAGATAGCTTGGACCGTGAAGCGGATAAGTCTCCTGACCAAGCGCCACTCCAAAAACCACCAGGGCAATCCCAACCGGTGGAAAACATCTCCCTGCCAACTGCTGCTGCTCCCCAGGGAATGGAGAAAGAGGTTGGGGAACAGAAAGAACCGGCGGGGCAGCGTTCCGCCGCAACGCCCCCGACCATCAATCTCCCCATCCGGTGCAAGTTCACGCCGCAGAGTTATCCTATCTTCAAGGAGGGATGGGCAGGTTTCTCCCGTGGTCTGAACTCCCTGAAGGCCTCCCACTCTACCATCCAAGTCAATTTGGAGAAAATAAGGGGATCAGTGCAGGATCCCATAATTTCACAGGCACGCCTTGACCTGTTTGCCCTTGATGTCCTACACTCCATGGAGCAGGTACCCTTCTCTTTCGAAAGTCTCCTTGCTTTTCTTAAATTATCCCTTTCTTGACTTTCCTTCCACCCTTCCAAACCACCTGGGAGGAGCATGGGGAAATTATCGGGCCATAAAGGTCCTAAAGGATAAGGAGTTGGCCGTCAGAGCCCTGCAACAGAAGGTTGGTTCCCTCGAGCAGCAAGCCCAAGCCCTACAAGAGGAGAATGCCAGGCTCAAAGTAGATGCCTCATCGGAACTGCTGGCTGAAAGGTCCAGGGTCAAGTCCCTGCAAGAGCAGATCACCACCTACCAAGGAAGCACCTAGGACCTGTAGGCACAGTTTGACAAACTCCGGGGGCAAATATCCTGTCTGGAGTCGAAAGTCTCTACCCTGGAAGGCAAAGAGGGGAGTCTGAAAGCCGAACTGGTTGAAAGGGAATCCCGGATCTCCGAGTTGGAGAATTCACTCCATGGGGCCAAGCAAGAGGGTGCCCACTTTAGTGAGCTCATGTTGAAACACATGGGGTTGAAACGGGAAGCCCTCCAGAAGCTGGAGAAGGAGAAAAAGACTGCCAATGAGCTCCGGTTAAAGGTGGGAGAACTGGAGAAGATTGCGGCTTCCCATCAAGGCGAGGTGGCCGCCCTGACCACCAGTGCAGAGGCCCTCTATGAAGAGGGGAAATTTGACATGCAGTTCTGCATTTACGAGGCGATCTATAGTGGTCTACCGGCTCACCGGACCTTGGATGATTTCATCACATACTACGGCTTGCCTCTTCCTCTTCCTCCCCCAGATTCTCGTTCCAATCCGGGACTTTGATTTTCTTCCCAACAATTGTTGTATTTTGCCTTGTAATGATTTAGTTGTATCAACATGGTGATGCTTGTAGCATTTTATCCTTTGTCAATGTCTCGTTCGCACTTACATCCCAGTAGATTTCTTTCTTTGGGCAAACTGTTCTCCTTTTAGGATTTTGATCTTGCTTTGGGGCTTAGCAAAATTTTTACCTAATTTAAGACTTGGGCTTAACCCACATCTGTATTTCCTCAAACACGCTCGCCCCTATCATTCCAAGTGACTGGCCCACCTTCAATACGCCGGGCCCAATTCACCCCCGCCCATGACGAACGGCGCAACCCTAGCTTTCCTTGGGAATCCACAACTGTTTCTCAATCGGATAAGCGCTTTGACTCCGTGTCCTTTGCACTCCTCTTAGCATCACTCGCCTATTTAAGGAACTAGGTGGCATACTTTCATTATCACATCCAAGTTCTCAACATGGCTAATAGTGCCAACAGAGTTGTCTTTATTGATCTGACTATCTCTGACTCTTCTTCTGATTCCTCTTCAATGGTATTTCCATCGCTTGGAGCCCTAACACCTGAATTCTCGTCTGGACCTTCCCCTGCTTCTGAACAATCGGTGACTTCTCCCCCGCCCAAAGGGGAGAACCATCCTCGTCTCCCCCAGCAAATATCAGGGGGTATTTTCTCGGATGCCGGCGTGCTCCCTGACTGTACCAGGACGGGAGCCTCCTCTGGCCGTCCTGGTACATCCCGTTCCCAGAAGAGACGCAATCCTCACTCAGAAGCTACCCGGTTGGTCTCCGGGGCAAGGCCTTCCTCCCAAGGTTCTCCCCCTCCTCAGCAGTCACATGGACAGAGCCTTGAGGAGTGGGGGGATTACGACATGGGGGGAAATAGGCGTCCCTCTACGCGGAGGGAAAAGGACGAAACCTTCCAAGATCCGCCTCCCCCTTTGGCGTAGGTGTAATGAAGCCGTAAATCCTCCCCTCATGCTTGATTGTTCTCATTGCCTTCTTTCATGGGAATGGCTGAAGGGTGTCTACGGGGCATGGCCTTCAATCCCACCCGTTGGTACCCTTTTGTTTTTCTTCTTTTGAAGGATGCATCTGGAGGAAAATGGGCTCTCTCCGCACCTTCCCGCTTCAGCATCCTTTTCTGGTCCGGGCGGGGCAGCAAGGGCCAGCGGGTTCGTTCCCTTTGCCGCACTGTTCCCTACGGATCATTGAAGTGCCGGCTGAACCAGCCTTTAGATTTTTTCAGTAGTAGGGTAGAAGTAGATCAGGGGCAAATTTCATTGTTGTAACCCAAAAGAATGTAATTTTCTATTTGAGTTATCTAATGAAAAACTCTGTCTCCCATCTTTTAGCGTTTCCATCGTTAAATCAGGGATAAGGTTCATTGTTGTAACCCAAAAGAATGTAATTCTCTTTATGAGCTATCTAATGAAAACCTTTATCTCCTGTCATTTATTATAATCATACCTTGTGGGCCATCGTCTGCATGAAGTAGAAGTTTATATCTGTTTAACTCTTACCATTCAGGGACGACGTTCTTTCCCATAGTGCAGATGGGCCCACCTCAACCGACCCATGCACTTAAGTAGTGAAACCTTAGTCAAACCTCGGGAACCGATACAACCGCTTCATCCGCCAATCGCCAAGTCTTTCATGGCTTTTAACCGTACTCGCCGCTTCCCAACGATCCCTTCCCCTTTACTATAAATAGGAAAAGATGGTTTTTTGCCGGCTCATCCTTTTCTGATCTCGTCAACATGAATGACAAAGCCCAGGGTAAGGTTTTCATTGACCTAACCCTTTCTGGTACCTCTTCATCTTCAGATGACAATCTTCTTGCCTCTCCCGCTCAGTCCAATGACATGTCTGGGCTGAGTCCCGGCAAATTCTCAAGACTCTATCCACCACCCCGTCTTCTTGCGCCTTCACCTCCTAATCCACCCAGGCTCGCATCCGGGAGGATAGACTGGGACTCCATGACCCTCCAAGACTTCGCCTTGTACTAGAGAATGCGCAGGGCTAGACTTGGACGTTCTTTCCCGGCCGCAGAGGCAGAACTTTCTTGTGAAAGCCGGGCAGCTTCTCCAAACCTGCAAAGGCCTCCTAGTGACGGTTCACCGCCTGCACCACCTAATCCCGACATGGGACGTGGGAAGACTATGACATGGGCGAGGCTGACGATTCCACCGCGTATCCTTCGTCAGAGAGAAGGAGCCCATGGAGAGGGCCCCCTCCTCCTTCCAGCTGACTGCATGGATGCAGTTGGCCCTCCTTCAGCGCATAGCCCCCTGCAGATCAGTTTTTTTTCTTTTCTTGTTTATCTCAAGGGACATTCACTTGTTTGCTTCGGGAGTTACCCCCGCATCCTATGCCAAGAAATGTCCTTTAATTTCAGATTAGGAATAATCGTTGTAATCCAAAGATATAACCTTCGAATTAGCAATCAATGAACTTCCTTATTCCCTTGTTTCTTTCATCTCATTGGGAACCATTATTGTGAACCAAAGATGTAGCCTTTGATCCATCCATATAGCTCCTTGTATTTATCTCTTTGTACATCATCAAATGCAAGTACAAATGCTTTTACCTTGTATAAAATCTCATCTCCCGGGGTCTGGATGTGTCTTGGGAGCTTACCTCATCTGCCCCTGACCTCCGTTCATCCCGGTTAAGGCCTAATCTTATCTACATTGGATCAATTGAGCGCCAACCCTCGAAGTTTGTTTGCTCGGTTGATCTGTGCTGGTGGAATACTAAGCTTCAGCCCTCGAAGTTTGCTTGCTGTTCCTCCTGAATTCCGGGTTGTAAAGGCCCTCGAAGTCCGATCCCAACCCTTCCTTCATATTTTACGGAGGCATAAACTTATCTACCTCCGGGGGGGCAAAAACTTATCAACCTCCCCTATCTTTAGTAGGTGGCATAAACTTTTCTACCTCCCTGTAATGTGGGTCTATCTTGCCCGGGGGTGTTCTCCCCCTATTTTTTTACGAAATCTACAGAACAATGGAATTGCAAAGACACTTGGTTTTAGAAGGAAGAAATTCTTTATTGTTAAAACAAATGAGAATGCCTTAAACGAAAAAATAGAGTGCGTCAATTACAAAACAATTTTACTGATAAAATTTTACCAAGTGCTCTACATTCCATGTCCTATCTATTTCTTTTCCCTTTGGAGTCACCAACTTGTAGGTACCTGGGCGAACAACGGCCTTGATGATATAAGGCCCTTCATACTTTTTGGCCAACTTTCCGCCCTTAGTTGGTTGACACTTCTCTCACTTTCTTAGGACGTAATCCCCCACCTGGAACACTCTCGGTTTCACCTTACTATCAAAGTAAGATTTCACCTGGCGACGGTAATTCTCTACCCGGATTCGTGCTTCATCCCTTCGTTCCTCTAAGAAGTTCAGCTCGATGGCCTGATTTTGTTTGTTCACTTCTGAGACTAGGGGTTGCCAACTCATCCACAGTTGCTAACTTGCTTATATACTCCGGTGATTCAGCGCTAAGCTTAGACAAGACATCAGCTTCCGCGTTGTACGCTCTGGGTATGTGCTCTAGCTTATACTCAAATTTTCCCAACATTTCCAAGGACAAGTCACGGTATTTCTTCATCCTCTCCCCACTGATTTGTCCCACCACCAAGCGGGAGTCGCTGTATACCTGGACCCTGGACACCCTCAGCTTGCCGAGAATCTTCAGTCCATTAATTAGGGCCTCATATTCGGCTTCATTGTTTGACATGCGGAACTAAAATCTAATAGCGTAATATATCCGGAAGCTTTCCGGAGTGATCAAGACAATACCTGCTCCACAGGATCGGGACCTAGAAGATCCGTCAATGCTCATCACCCACCACTCATCTTCTACCCGGGCTCTTGTCATCTCCCTGGCCGTACACTCATCCTGAAAGTTGGCGAGTGTCTGCCCTTTGATCGATGGATGCGGCCTGAACTCCACATTGTACTGACTGATGAACACCGCCAACTTGGTCATTCGGGCGGATGCCGCTGGGTTCGAGTAAGTGACGCCAAGGGCTCATTGGTGAGTACCACAATCAGTGAGCTTGAAAGTACGAGGTTAATCTCTTCTCCATCCAAAAGACTGCTAACATGGCTTTTTCTGGGCGGGAATACCTCAGGTCCGCATCTCTCAAGGTCTAACTGACATAGTAGACCGGATGCTGGGCCCCGTTCTCTTCTCTTACAATCACAGTACTGATGGCGCAGTCTGCAATTGCTAAGTATAACGTCAGGACATTCCCGGGTTCCAGCTTGGATAAAACCGGAGGACTCGCCAGATACTTCTTTAATTCTTCGAATGCCACTTGACATTCATGCGCCCATTCAAAGCTCGTCCTCTTCTTGATTACAGTAAAGAACGGATGCGCCTTCTCCGCTAATTTTGAAAGGAAACGATTCAAGGCCGCCAATCTCCCCGTCAGCCGCTGGACCTCTTTCGCTGTCTTTGGGGGTTCCATCTCCATGATGGCCGTTACCTTTTTCGGGTTAGCCTCAATCCCTCTTCGGCTAACCATGTGCCCTAGGAATTTCCCCCCTTAGACCGCACAAGTACACTTCTTCGGGTTCAATATTAAGTTTACCTTCATCATGAATTCAAAGACCTCCTCAAGGTCCCGGACGTGGTCTCGGGCCTCTCTGGACTTGACAATCATGTCATCAACATAAGCTTCAATAGTTCGCCCTAAGACGGCTTTGAACACCTGAGAAACCATCCGGGTGTATGTTGCCCCGCAATTTCTAAGTCCAAACGCCATCACGAGGTAACAGTAGAGGCTCTTAAGAGTCATAAAACTTGTCTTCTCAACATCAGCTGGGTGCATTCGAATCTGATGGTAGCCACTGAAGGTATCCATGAAACTCATCAATTCTGATTTGACAGTATCATCCACCATCTGGTCAATATTGGGGAGAGGAAACGGATCCATCGGACATGCTTTGTTCAAGACTACATTTGCCAACCAATCCGGGTAATGCACCTCCCGGATGTGTCCAATAATCTGCAAGGTTGTCACCTCCTTCTTCACGAAGTCTCTCCTTTCTTGCGATGGATGCCTTCGCTTCTGCTTCACTGGTTTAGCATCCTGCAAAACATTGAGACGATGAACTGCAATCTTGTGATCCAACCCCGACATATCAGCTGGACTCCATGCAAAGACCTTCCTGAATCTTCTAAGAACAGAGATTACTCGTGACCTGAGTTCAGCCCCCAGGCCCTATCCAATTCTAACTAATCTTCCTGGTATGCCTGGCTCCAGTTCCACTTCCTCTATGTCGCCCGCAACTTCAACTCTAGGACGCCTTTCTTTGGCTCTTAAGAGTTGTGCGGTCACCTCCCCCACCTGGGTGTCGTATCTGATAGGTTGTTTAGTTGCCTTCAAATACCATGCCCTGGACACCCTCTGGGATCCCCTGGCAACTCCAATCCCACGGGGGGTTGAGAACTTTATGCATAGGTGACGAGGTGAGATGACACACTCCAAATCTTCTAATCCGGGTCTTCCCAGGATGAGATTTGTGTTGGAGACTATTCCCACTACAACGAACTCCATGTCCAACTTCCGGGTTGCCTTAGTATCTCCTACCTCGACCGACAGGGTTATCACCCCCTCCGGTTCAATAGAGCCGCCCGTGAACCCGGTCAGGGGAGTCTTAATGGGCAATAACTCATGTCTCGTCAAACCAAGAGCCTTGTAAGTATCCATATACATGATGTTAACGAAACTTCCCGTATCCACCAAAGTCTTGTGGATCACCAAGTCCATTATGTCGATTGTAATCACCAGAGCATCCCTATGGGGGACCCCTTGTGTCTGGCAAATCAGCATTAGAAAATACAATCGGCTCAGTTTTAAGCTTCTTACCTTCCGGTTGGGCAGGGGCCGCCACCTTATTGACCATTGCCGCACTAGCCCACTTTTTCCAACTTGTGGCCGAATCCCCACCAATGTTCCCACCGATGATGTAATTACACCCATGGTGCCTCTTCTGTCGGTGTGGTGCGGGTTCTGAACTTCCTCTTCATCCTCAAGTCCGATGTGACGTTTCTCCCGGGCCTCAGCCTGGGCCACTTGCCCTTCTCTACGCTTCCCATTTTGAGCGTTCCCGGGATTTCCCCCGTACGCATCTTGTACAAATTTTTTCAGATGGCCCCGGCGGATTAGCATGGCCATCTCATTCTTCAAGGTATAACAGTCCTCCGTGTTGTGATCATTCTTGCAGTGGTAAGCGCACCATTTCCCAGTGTCCTCCACATTACAGACCTTCTGGGAATAGGTTGGGTATGTCATTAGTCCCTGCTGTGCAGCATGGGCCATGACCTCAGCCACCGGTAATGTAAACACTGGATTAGCGGATTTGTGCTTCTCCGAGGTCCCAGGGTTCGTGCCCTTCGGCCATCCGGGAAGCCCTGCTTCTTATTCTTTAAAGGCTTCTTGTTTCTCACCTTCTCTTTTTCTTTGGGAGTCTTCTCTTTCTTTTTCTCCTTCCTCTCCTCCAGGGTCACATACCTTCCAGCCCGAACCATTGCTTCCTCAAAGGTATCTGGGGGATGGGTTGTGAGATCGGTATGAAGGAGCCCATCTTGTAGTGCTGTTGTGAACATGGTTAACCTGGATTTATCGTCGGTTCCTTCAACCTCCCTGGATTCTTTTCTCCACCTCACAAGGAAGTTCTTTAGGGACTCCCCGTGCTTCTGTCGTACTGGGGCCAAGTGGGTAAAATGCTTTTTGGGACGGCAGTTCCCTGCAAAATGCTCTAGGAACCGCAATCCCAACTCATCCCAAGTCCGGATCGATCCGTCCGGAATGTGATTCACCCAATCCGCAACCTTGCTATCAACCGTCTGCAAGAAACATCGGCACATCAATGCATCGCTGGCATCAACGGCAATCATCACATGGACATAGCTATTTATGTGTTCATGGGGATCCGATTCCCCATCATAACCCTTGACAAACGGCACTTTGAATCCATGAGGATATGGCTCTGCAAAGATCTCCGGGACGAGCGGAGTATTTGTCCGGGTAGTGAACACTCGTCCCCTGTTTATTTTCCTCTGCATCTCCTGGATTTGTCCGGGTAGTGAACACTCGTACCGCATGCTACATGTTAATCCGAGCCGTCATTAGACCGATACTCAAGAAAACGCCCTACGAACTTTACAAGGGAAAAAGGCCTAACCTTTCCTATTTTTATGTCTTTGGATGTAAAGTTTTTATCCATAATAATGGAAAAGATAACTTGGGAAAATTCGATGCTAAGTTGGATGATGGAATTTTCTTAGGTTATTCATTGCGTAGTAAAGCATATAGAGTGTTCAACAAGCAACTAAGACTGTAGAAGAGTCTATTCATGTTGCTTTCGATGAGTTTGATGCTCGCTTGGCGAGAAGTAGTGTTGAAAATGTTGCAGGTTCTTATGACAAAGAAGAAGAAATCGTCAAGGAAAAGGAACCGGAGGAAGAGAAAACACAAGAGGAAATGGAGCTCCCTAAGGAATGGAGAATGTTAAAGGATCACCCGATTGACATCGTCATTGGTGACATAACGCAGGGAGTTTCCACTCGTAATTCTCTTAGGGACACAATTAATCACATGGCCTTTGTTTCAAAAATTGAACCAACAACTGTTTTGGATGCCATTAATGATGAGCATTGGTCTCTAGCAATGCAAGATGAGCTTAACCAATTCAAACACAATGATGTATGGGAGTTGGTACCTAGACCTAATGATCATTCCGTTATTGGAACAAAATGGTTGTTCCGTAACTTACTCAATGAAAATGGAATAATCACTAGAAACAAAGCTAGTCTCGTAGCTAAAGGATACAATCAAGAGGAAGGCATTGATTACGAAGAAACTTATGCACCGGTTGCACGATTTGAGGCAATTTGTTTATTACTTGCTTTTGCATCTACGATGAATATTATACTCTATCAAATGGATGTTAAAAGTGCCTTCCTTAACGGTATCATTCAAGTGGAAGTGCATGTCGAACAACTGTTGTGATATTTTATTTACTCGCAAGTGCACGAACCGTACGAAAGTATAGCAACGCAAATACGAGGTCGATCCCACAGGGACTTGATTATGTGAAGAATTTTATTCTAGATTCAATTGAATAATTCTAATCTAGTTGGACAAAACTTAATATTTTAATAAAAACTAAATGTGAAAGTGAATAATTTTAAAGAAATCTTAATTTAAACAAAAAACTAAAGATTTTTCTAACTACTAAAAAAAAGAGATTAAAAATAAGTTTTCAAATATGAGAAAGAACTAGGACTTGGAATCCACTTATATATTCAAATGTAATTTTTACTCAATCATTATTTTTTCCAAACTTAATACGCATGATAATCTCGCAACCAAGTCTCGTTATCATGGAGGATATATCAATTAAGCTCTAAAAAAACAATTTCTATAGTTTGCTATTTTTCAAAGTTTCGAGAGAAATTCAAATCATTAATTGTATCTCATCAAGATATCACAACTAATATCCGCTCTTTCAACTTGTCAAACAATTATTAGGATTATTCAAAGCATGAGAAAAACATGATTGAACTCATCTAAAAATTAACCCTAATAATCAATTGGAAAAATAGACAATAAACATTTAAGATCAATATGGAAAAATAAATGATGAGTAAAAATCAAATTGAATATATAAGTTTCATCCTTGCCCTAGCCATGAAGATTAGCCAAACATAATGTAAAATTCAACAAGATTGATAGTAAAACTTGACATAATTAAAGAAGAAGGGAAGAATTAAACTCTGAAATTGGAGGAAGATGAGGAGCCGGAGCCGAGCAAGAGACGTCGCCGCCGCACTAGGTCGCCGCTGCACCTTGTTCTTCGGCTCTGCTCCGTTCTCTTTTTTTTCGTTCTTTTTCCGTTTTCAGCAGACCCCCCCCCCTTTGAGATGATGCGGCTCCTCTCTCTTTATACCCATCATGTTTCTCTCTTTTTTTTAGGTTTAATGTGGGTTGGGTTGGATTGGATTTGTATAGCACTTGGACTTGACTTGCACTTGGACTTTAAATCTTCAATTCCATTTAAGCTTGGCCCAATTCTCCATCCCTTGAACTTAACATCTATTTTTTATTCCAAAGAGTATATCTGAAAATACATATAAGAGAAATTAATTTCAACATGGAATAGAATAAAAACTTTGCCCAACTTATGATTTTAGTATAAAAATATAACAAGTAGCCTAAAGATCCAAATATTTCATTATACACTTTATTTTCACATAAAATGCATTAAAAATATAATAAAGAACTAAAGTATGACCAAATAAAATGTGACAATTTGTAACGTATCAAATACCCCCACACTTAGTCCTTTGTTTGTCCTCGGGCAAAGTAAATACCAAAAATCTTTTTTTTAACACTAGAACTCAAAATAACTTCTCTATCTTATAACATAAAGTGATGTATTTGAACATTAATCAGAAATTAATCATATACCAAACAGAATGAACTCTTTAAAAATCAATTTGCTACTTTAAATTTTAAACAATTCTTTCACTTCAAAGCTAAGTAGAAATTACTTTTATTCAATGTCAGAACTTTGAATTAATTAAGGTCATTGAGAATAATTTAAAAGAAATACATAGAGCAGCAAAAAGTGGTTAGAAATCCTAAGGAACTATCAAGTAAAGAAATGCTCAAGAAAATTTATTTTCTTTTCTAAAATCTGGAAACTTTGATTTATTGCTTTTATTTAGTATTTAATTTTTTCATTGTTTGAGTTGACCCATGTAGCGAGTCTCAACCAGGCTACCCCAGGCCCATTCCAGATAGCCCGGGACCTAAATAAACGAAGTATTCCGAGGGTTTCAACTCGAGCGCTCAAACAATGTTTTATTCATTTATTTTCTTTTATTTTACTTTTTTTTACCTAGCCATTTGTTGCACTTTTTTTCTTTTTTGGCTCAATGGCGTCGGTTTTTTTCTTATTATTTTAAACTGGTTATGGACGAGATTCTTAGGGCCCAAAACAGGGTTTGATCTTCCAACTTAGGTTTTCTCCATACACAACATCACTTCCTTTTGGGATTCGTTGCTTAAGGGGTCAAAGGTGCCGTGCCACCCATTCCAACCTAAGATGGTGTTCGAGTATATATATATTATATTCATTTCAACATCTTGATAATATGTAGTTAACCAAAATTTAGATAAGAAAAAAGATTTTCTTAAGACTAACTTTACTTGAATAGAAACTTAGGACGAAAAAAAGAGTTAGAAAACTGCTCCATATAATTCTAAATAAATTAGGCACATTGAACTTAACTAAATAAAAGGTAAGATATTAAATAAAAATAAGTTCTAAATAGATTTGATTTAAAAGATATGTTTTAAACTTTGGAGTAGCAAACTCATTTTTTAAGAAGCTCAAACATATTTGTTACAATATTAATTTCCATTTAATGCCAAAATACAAACACTTAAGTGCTAAGAGATTAAAAAGTAATTATTTTGAAATGTAATAAGTTTTTTTAAAATACGCTTCCAACTATTATAGTTTTCTCTAAAAACTTAAAAATTTTTGAAGTTTTTTAACCAAAATGCATCTATTATGCAGAAAAAAAAAATCTACCCACCCCATGCTCCTCTAATATCTAGTATGCATAGTAAAAACATGCAAATAAATTTTAACAAGTATATTCCAAAAAAAATGCAGAACTAAGTGTAAGTGTCCCCCCACACTTAATTCATGCAATGTCCTCAATGCATGTCAATGTTATAAAATAAAAAAAAACTTTGCACATACTAGCTAAAGCTATTAAAAACATGGAACATGGAATGAGATTAAGGGATGAAAACATCAACAACTCAAGAAAAATATTAAGCAAAATAACTTCCCTGGAAAATATGGGGTTGTCTCCCACTAAGCGCCTTTGTTTACTGTCGTTGGGTCGACTTCATGCACTGCTCTGATAAATTCCCTTGTCCACCTGAGAAACAAATGGCAAGAAAGAAAAAAAAAATAAAAATAAAAAAAATAAAAGGAACAAATAACTAGGGCAAATAAAAGTTTTTTTTGCCGACACTATATACATCCCCATACAAAGGCACCGAACTCTGGGAGGCACTTAAGCCGACTCACTAAGATTAAGAAAAAAAAAAAATACGTAATAAATTGAAAAAAAATTAGTCCTGGTAGACAGGATCTTCAATTGTGATCTCCTCGATCTCTGGAGATTTTAGCTCATTAAAGGGTTTCAATCGTTGGCCATTTACCTTAAAAACAGCACCATCCTTGGGATTTTCAATTTCAACAGCCCCATGAGAATAAACAGTGCGAACAATGAAAGGACCAGACCACCGAGATCTCAACTTACCAGGAAACAAATGCAAACGAGTATTATAAAGTAAGAGTTTCTGGCCAGGCTCAAAAGATTTCCTGAGAATATTCTGATCATGCACTCTTTTCATTCTTTCTTTGTAAGATTTAGCACAATCATAATCATCATTTCTAATCTTTTCTAGTTCATTAAGTTTCAATTTCCTCTCAACACCGGCTTGCTCCAAATCAAAATTTAATGTTTGAATAGCCCAATATGTTTTATGCTCTAATTCAACTGGAAGATTACATGCTTTTCCATAAACCAAACGATAAGGAGACATACCAATGGGAGTTTTAAAAGCAGTACGATATGCCCATAATGCATCATCTAATTTTAAAGACCAATCTTTTCTTGAGGAATTAACTGTTTTTTCCAAAATTCTTTTAATTTCTCTATTAGAAATTTCAACTTGACCACTAGTTTGGGGATGATAAGGGGTAGAAATTTTATGCAGAACACCAAATCTTTTCATTAAGTACTCAATAACTCTATTACAAAAATGTCTACCTCCATCGCTGATAATAGCTCGTGGAGTACCAAAGCGTGCAAAAATGTTTTCCTTTAAAAAATTAACAACAGTTTTATGATCATTATCCCTACATGCTTTAGCTTCCACCCACTTAGATACATAATCAACCCCAACAAGAATCTAAAGATTACCAAAAGAATTAGGAAATGGTCCCATAAAGTCTATGCCCCAGACATCAAAGATATCGATAATTAAAATTGGATTTAAGGGCATCATATTTTTCTTATTAATGGTACCTAATCTTTGGCATCTATCACATGATGAACAATACGTGTGGCAATCACGAAAAATTGTAGGCCAATAAAAATCACATTGAAGAATTTTGTAAGCTGTTTTCTTAGAACTAAAATGACCACCACACGCATGATCATGACAAAAAGAAATAATACTTTGTTGATCACATTCAGGAACACATCTTCTTATGATCTGGTCAGAGCAATACTTGAATAGGTAAGGATCATCCCAAAAGAAATGTTTTACCTCAGATAAGAACTTAAACTTATCTTTCTTGCTCCAATTTGTAGGTAACTGCTTTGTAACTAAATAATTCACAATATCAGCAAACCAGGGAGTTCTAGAAACTTGCATTAGTTGCTCATCAGGAAAAGACTCAACAATAGGTAAATCAGTATCATCAGTATCAATAATCAATCTAGACAAGTGATCAGCTACAACATTTTCAGAGCCCTTTTTGTCTCTAATTTCTAAATCAAACTCTTGTATAAGGAGAATCCATCTTATGAGTCTAGACTTAACATCTTTTTTAGACATCAAGTACTTTAATGCAGAATGATTAGAAAAAACAATAACTTTAGAACCCAAAATGTATGACCTAAATTTTTCCAAAGCAAATACAACAACTAACATCTCTTTCTCAGTAGTGGAATAATTCAATTGTGCATCATTGAGTGTTCTACTAGCATAATAAATTACATGAGGTAACTTATTAATTCGTTGGCCTAAAACAGCTCCAATAGCATAGTCAGAAGCATCACACATAATCTCAAAAGGTATAGACCAATCAGGTGGTTGAATAATAGGAGCAGATGTTAACGCCTTTTTTAATGTATTGAAAGCTTGTAGACATGCATCATCAAATATAAAAGGAACATCCTTACCTAAAAGATTACATAAGGGTCTAGAAATTTTACTAAAATCTTTTATAAATCTCCTGTAAAAACCTGCATGGCCCAAAAATGATCTAATTCCCTTGACATTCTTTGGAGGAGGAAGATTAGAAATTAAATCAACTTTTGCTTTATCTACCTCAATTCCATCTTTAGAGATAACATGACCAAGAACAATGCCTCTTTTAACCATAAAATGGCATTTTTCCCAATTTAAAACAAGACTTTTTTCTTTGCATCTTTCTAAAACAAAAGATAAATTTTCTAAACACTTATCAAAAGAAGAGCCAAAGACAGAAAAATCATCCATAAATACCTCAAGGAATTCACCTATCATATCAGAAAAAATACTCACCATACATCTTTGAAAAGCACTAGGGGCATTGCATAACCCAAAAGGTAAACGGTGGTATGCAAACGTACCAAACGGGCATGTGAATGTAGTTTTTTCTTGATCCTCGGGAGCAATGGGGATTTGAAAATAACCAGAATAACCATCAAGAAAACAATAATATTCATGACCAGCTAATTTTTCCAGCATTTGATCAATAAAAGGGAGAGGGAAGTGATCTTTCCTAGTTGCAGAATTTAACTTACGATAATCAATACACATTCTCCATCCTGTTTGAACTCTAGTTGGAACTAACTCGCCATTCTCATTTTTTACTACAGTAATTCCTGATTTCTTAGGCACAACTTGGACAGGACTTACCCAATTACTATTAGAAATAGGACAAACAATTCCGGCATCCAGTAATTTTATCACCTCACTCCTAACTACATCTTGCATAGTAGGATTCAATCTTCTTTGTGGCTCACGTGTTGGCTTGGCATTATCCTCTAAATGAATTCTATGTAAGACGACCGAAGGACTAATACCCTTAATATCAGCAATGGACCAACCTATAGCTTCTATATGTTTCTTCAACACACTCACTAATTGTGATTCTTGAGATTTATTTAGATTAGAAGCTATCACAACAGGCAATGTATCATTATCTCCTAAGAAAACATAAGAGTATCAGGCAATTGTTTCAATTCGAATTTAGGAGGTACCACAGAAGAAGGCAATAAAGGAGAAAAAGACAATGGGAGTCTTAAAGGTTTAGGCTTCCACTTATCCTCGTTCAAAATAGGTGTAGAATCAAGTAAGTGATTTATCTCAGCAATTGAATCATCCATGTCAAAATCAGTTCCAAAATTAACTAAACATGCTTCTAGTGGATCATCACTACTTGAGTGATGAAAAGTATCATTAATAAGACTGTCTAGCACATTTAATTCACATACATCATCATTATCATCATGCATTTGCTTAGTCACATGAAAAATATTCAATTCTACAGTCATATTGCCAAAAGAAAGTTTCATAACACCATTCCTACAATTGACTAAGGCATTGGCTGTAGCAAGGAATGGGCGGCCTAAAATAATTTGTGTTTGTGTGGAAGAATCTTGCACGGGCTCAGTTTCTAGAACAACAAAATCAACAGGAAAATAAAAATTCTCTACTTTTATCAAAACATCCTCAATTATTCCCCTAGGAAGCTTTACAGATCTATCCGCGAATTGAAGTGTCATCCTAGTAGATTTAAGCTCCCCTAAACCCAATTGCAAATAAACATGATAAGGCAATAAATTAACACTTGCACCCAAATCTATTAAAGCTGTATTAATCTGATGCTCACCTATTTTGCAAGAGATTGTAGGGGATCTAGGATCTTTTAATTTTATAGGATATTTATTTTGAATAACTGAGCTCAATTGTTCAGTCAAGAAGGCTTTCTTTGGAACATTTGTTTTTCTCTTTGTTGTTACTAAATCCTTTAAAAACTTTGCATAAGCAGGTACTTGTTTAATAGCATCTAAGAATGGAATATTTATTTGAACTAGTTTAAACATTTCTAAGATATCTCCTGTTTTACTATTATCTTTTGGAGCTAGGAGCCTATGAGGATATGGAGCTTTAGGAATAAATTTACTATTCTCAATTTCAGTACTCTTAGGATTTGACTTTTTAGGTTCTTCAGACTTTTTATGTTCATCATCTATGGAGTTCTTAGTTCTTTTATTCTCTTCATTATCACTTTCAGGTTCCTTCACATTGTTATTAACTTGCTTACCAGACCTAAGAGAGATGACAGATTCCACATTTTCTTGCTTAGAACTAGAACTAGGCTCCTCATTAATAACATACTGACCCTTAGGATTAGGAATGGGCTGACTAGGAAATTTACCTTTTTCTCTTTCTCCTATATGAGTAGCTAACTGACCCATTTGAGTTTCTAACTTAGAGATGGCGGTAGTATTTAGGTGGGTGGCATTTTTAATTTCTTGAAGTGCCTGACTTGTAGATTGCATAACTTGAGTTGTGGATTGCATAAACATTTTAACAGTATCCTCTAAAGTTGAGGATTGTGGCTTAGGTGGACTCACTATTTGTGGTGGAACTAGAGGATATGTCTGATTAAAATTGGTGGGTCTAAATTGATTAGAATTTGGCATGGGTGAAAATGCATTATTGGTAGGTGATTGATTTCTCCATGAAAAATTAGGATGATTACGCCAATTAGGATTATAAGTATCACCAAATTGATTAGAGACAGGCTTACTAAAAGCATTCAACACATTAGCATGCTCAAAAGAATTTTCAGAGTAAGAGGTGATATGAGGACACATAGAAGCATCATGCATTGTACTCGAACAAACCGAACAACAATCAGATATAATATTTTTAGAAGTGCCAATTGCCTTATTTGTCCCTAGAGCCTTGACTTCTTGTGCGAGATAATCTAATCTAGTCATTATATCCACATTATTACTCACTTCATATAAACCACTCTTTTTATTATTTTGACTTGGCTTTTCTCTAGGATTAGAAAAGTCCCATTGTTGAGAACTTTTTGAAAGTGTTTCAAAGAAATTAAAGGCATCATCTTCACTTAAATTTAAAAATCCTCCACCATTCATTGATTCTACCATATTTCTATTAGATTGAGTTAAACCATTATAAAAATTTTGCACCAACCTCCAATTCTCAAAACCATGATGAGGACACTTTAATAACAAATCTTTAAATCTTTCCCAAGTCTCATAAAATTTCTCATTTTCATCTTGATAAAAATCAGTTATTTGTCTTCTTAAAGCATTAGTTCTTGACATAAGGAAAAACTTAGCAAGGAATTTTTTAACCAAAGCATCCCATGTTCTAATAGATTGAGGAGGTAACGAATTAAGCCAAACTTTTGCCTTGTCTTTTAAAGAAAAAGGAAACAATCGCAAGCGTACAGATTGATTAGGTAAAAGATTTCTAAAAAATCTTTAACATGCAAATATGGATCCTCATTACTTAAGCCATGAAAATTAGGTAAAAGATTGATTACCTGAGGTTTAAGCTCAAAATGTGTTGCAGTGGTAGCAGGCAAAACAATGCACGAAGGTGGATTCGTGGACATTGGAGAAAATAATTTTCTCAGTGGCTTGGCCTCAACTGCATCAACTTCTTTTGCCATTTTAGAATCTTCTATATCCACGCTAATAAGACGATTTTTGTGATCACGAAACCAAACAAAAACTCTAAAAGAAAGGTTAGCAAACTTTTTTTTATCAACTTCTTATTACTTTTTGTTTTTTTTTTTATTTTTCTATATTAATTTTTCTTTGATTTTTTTTTTTAGTTTTTTTTAAAGATTTTTTAAAACAACTAGTAGAAGAAAAACTCAACTACAATCTAGAATTCAAATCTTTTCAGTTCCCCGGCAACGGCGCCAAAAACTTGTTGTGATATTTTATTTACTCGCAAGTGCACGAACCGTACGAAAGTATAGCAACGCAAATACGAGGTCGATCGCACAGGGACTTGATTATGTGAAGAATTTTATTCTAGATTCAATTGAATAATTCTAATCTAGTTGGACAAAACTTAATATTTTAAGAAAAACTAAATGTGAAAGTGAATAATTTTAAAGAAATCTTAATTTAAACAAAAAACTAAAGATTTTTCTAACTACTAAAAAAAGAGATTAAAAATAAGTTTTCAAATATGAGAAAGAACTAGGACTTGGAATCCACTTATATATTCAAATGTAATTTTTACTCAATCATTATTTTTTCCAAACTTAATACGCATGATAATCTCGCAATCAAGTCTCGTTATCATGGAGGATATATCAATTAAGCTCTAAAAAAACAATTTCTATAGTTTGCTATTTTTCAAAGTTTCGAGAGAAATTCAAATCATTAATTGTATCTCATCAAGATATCACAACTAATATCCGCTCTTTCAACTTGTCAAACAATTATTAGGATTATTCAAAGCATGAGAAAAACATGATTGAACTCATCTAAAAATTAACCCTAATAATCAATTGGAAAAATAGACAATAAACATTTAAGATCAATATGGAAAAATAAATGATGAGTAAAAATCAAATTGAATATATAAGTTTCATCCTTGCCCTAGCCATGAAGATTAGCCAAACATAATGTAAAATTCAACAAGATTGATAGTAAAACTTGACATAATTAAAGAAGAAGGGAAGAATTAAACTCTGAAATTGGAGGAAGATGAGGAGCCGGAGCCGAGCAAGAGACGTCGCCGCCGCACCAGGTCGCCGCTGCACCTTGTTCTTCGGCTCTGCTCCGTTCTCTTTTTTTTCGTTCTTTTTCCGTTTTCAGCAGACCCCCCCCCCCCTTTGAGATGATGCGGCTTCTCTCTCTTTATACCCATCATGTTTCTCTCTTTTTTTTAGGTTTAATGTGGGTTGGGTTGGATTGGATTTGTATAGCACTTGGATTTGACTTGCACTTGGACTTTAAATCTTCAATTCCATTTAAGCTTGGCCCAATTCTCCATCCCTTGAACTTAACATCTATTTTTTATTCCAAAGAGTATATCTGAAAATACATATAAGAGAAATTAATTTCAACATGGAATAGATCGACTCTTTACTTTACCTTACTGCGAGTAGACCGAATATCATTTACTCCGTTTGTATATGCGCTAAAAATCAATCATGTCCTAAAGAATTGCACTTGGTTGCGATCAAAAGGATAATGCAATATCTCGCAGGCACGTTGAACGTAGGTCTTTGGTATCCCAAAGGTTCGACATGTCATCTTGTTGGCTATTCCGACGCGGATTTTACAAGTTGCAAACTCGATAGGAAAAGTATCAGCGGGACTTGCCATCTATTCGGTCATTCTTTAATCTCGTGGTTTAGTAAAAAATCAAGTTAGTATTGCACTATCCACCACCAAAGCGGAATATGTCGCTGTGGGAAGTTGTTGTGCTCAAATTGTTTGGCTAAAACAACTAGTGGATTTTAGCCTTATACTGGATCACATCCCAATTAGGTGTGACAATATGAGCGCTATTAGTCTCATGAAGAACCCCGTTTTTCATTGCGGACTAAACACATAGAGATTAGGCATCACTTCATTCGATATCATGTCCAAAAGGGTGATGTCACAATTGAGTTTTTAGAAATGAAACATCAATTGGTAGACATTTTCACGAAACCCCTTAGTAGGGAGAGTTTCTTCCATATTCAGAATGAACTTGGTATTTTAGACATCTCGATGAACTAGTTTATTCTTGTGTTAATTTTTACTAATTTGAGCATCAGAGACGTAATAAATCTTTTTTGCAGGGTCTTTTTTACACGTATTTCTTCCCTTGGCATAATATTTTGGTTGAAATTGATGAATTTCCTTGAGAAAGTCACCTTTCCTTCAAAACCCATTCAAAATCAATGTTTCAACACCTTTCAAAATTCATTTTTGGCCTTCACTAGGATTTAATCATTTTTTTTCCCTCTTAATCGATTTGGAGGGTCTGAGTAATTTTTGGCCTATGAAATCTGTTCGAATTGATTATTCAATTTTTCGAAATTTCGATTTTTATCTGGTTCTAAACGTGCTCTTTGTAACTTGAAATTGATCGATTTTTCCCTCCTTCATATTAATCGATTAAAAACATCTGTACAAGTTTCTGCCTTTGCCCCACCTTCGAAATCGATTTTTTGCTCTAAATTTAATCAATTTTTTCTACGATTTTGCACTTCAAATCTCAAAACTGAAGCAGAAAATAGATCTAATTCCTTGTTTTTCCTCAGCGACGACTCACGGGCTACGAACCCTAGGTTTGAATTCCCCATTTTTGCTTCGTTTCTTGGCTAAATCTACATCAAATTCTTCAAATTCTCTCATATTCTTCATCAATTTCATCAAATATTCCAAGAAAAAGAAGAGAGAAGCCCCCTCACGTCCCAATCGTGGGTAGGGTTTGGAGGTTAGACGGCCCGACCTATGTTCACACCCAAACCAACATCCGCTTTGCTAGTCCCAAAGATATAGAGAAGTTCCACAAGGAGTTTCTTGAGAAGGAGATAATCGCGCCGAAGACTGTGGAGCCTCTTCTCTTTCATGACACTACCTATGCCCCGTGCAAAGTCCCTTTCCAAGGGCAAGGTTTGCTCAAATTCATCTCTTTGAAGTATGATTTCTATTGTCCTAATCTTATCCGCCAATTGTATTCAACTCTCTGTATCACTATCGAGGATAATCCGGACTTGATTTCCCACGTTGACGGCAAAACAATTCATGTTAATGCCAAAACCGTGACGGCTATTCTTGGTCTCCATCAAGGCAAAGTCCGTGGTAGCTTTCATGGTACCTTTTTGGACAAAGCTATTTGGCAACAACTTGGCGTACCATTTCATCAGCTTTCGTACGCCAATTCCTCAAACCTGAGTGTCACCAACCTCACTTTTACCCAACGGGTGCTTCAATACATTTTTTGTTATGTGTTGTTGCCAATTAAACTCCACTTTCATCCACCAGTCGAGTTGATCATAATGATTGACATTGTTTAGAACCCAGGTGTTTCGTGACACCAAAATGGTCAAAACTTACTCACTCGAACAAGCAAACACCTACTCTATATTGTGATATCTTGTTCTTTTACAATCTGACATGCCTGAGATAATCTCACATTATTTTCCCTCAAGAGAAGAATTTTGCTGATTCTTGTCATCACCATTAAGCTCCATTTGACTTCTAGTCTTAGTAAGAATGATTTGTGGATAAATAAAGAGGATAAGTTTTGCCAAAAGCTTTCAAAAAAGGGGCGTTTATTGACATAAATGTTTTTCAACTACCTATGTGTAAGGAAAATTTGTTCCTGTTATCAATATCAACTATGAACCTTGATTTCAACTCGCCTACGAAACCTAGTGAAGATTACTTATATGATTACATTTTGTTATACACACACACACACACACACACACACACACACACACACACAATGATGGAACAGTTTCCAAGTGAAGATGCTGATTTTTTGGTTTTGGGGGGATTCCCAAAGGTATTTAAAAGAGGCCATGGGGGTTGAACATGCGCTCTACAGAATTCATATGCGGACTTGAAGGTGAAAGAACCATTAGGATCAAGCTTCCAGTGCATCATGCCATCATCAGAGACAGAACAAGTGTCAATGGCAGATTCATCAATGTTGAAGATTCTCTTGTAGACTGGGGAATCAGTAATGTTGTCCTTCATCTCACCATCCCTCCAATATTTAGCTCTCATTAGCTTTGCCCATAATCCATTATCATGATGGTATTTCCACCAAAGTTTAAGACTGAATGCTTTTTCTAAGCTATTGAAATCTCCTGTACCCAGGCCACCTTCGTCTTTGGGGGTACAGAGCTTCTGCCAACTTATCCAATGATGCTTAGAAGGATTTCCTCCCCACAAAAATTTGGCCATTTTGTGATCCAACAAGTGTTTGATGGATTTAGGGAGTGTGTTAGTTGCCAGGAAATAGTTGGGAAGAGTGTTAAGGACATGATTAATAAGTACAAGACGACCTGCTTGATCCATGTTTTTTTGGTACCATCCATTTAACTTCGAATCGAAGGAAGAAATAAGGTTGGTGCAGTAAATATGTCTAGTGATTCCCAAGTCAATAGGAATACCAAGATAAGTAAAAGGATAGCGCTTATGGGACATTCCCAGGAGTCTTTTTAGATTGGATATGGCTAAAGAGTTAGGCTTGGAACCCATCATGAAGCTGCTCTTAGTGTAATTGATGGCCTGCCCGGAGACCAGTTGGTAATCGTGGAGGAATCTTTTGAGGTTGGAAACAGATCGGCTATGTCCCGAAGAGAAGATGATGATATCATCAGCATAAGAAAGGTGGGTAATAGGGATGAACTTTCTCCCTAAATTGTACCTGTCAATGAAGCCATCAAGAAACAATTTGTTAAGGTTTCTAGAGAAACCTTCATTAGCAATAATAAAGAGGAGAGGAGAGAGAGGATCTCCTTGTTTAATCCCTCTTGATTGTCCAAAATATCCACATGGTTTGCCATTGATCAGAATAGAATATTTGGATGAGGTAAGCAAGGTATTAACCATGCGGATGAATTGAGGAGAGAAGCCAAAAGCCTTGAGGATATCCATCAGGTATGACCATTTAAGCTTATCAAAAGCTTTGGCCATGTCAAGTTTGACGATGAGGTTTCCACCATGAGCTTTCCTATTGATGTGATGAACCAACTCCTTAGTGATAAGAATTTTGTCCATAATCTCCCTTCCTGGAACATAAGCCCCTTGTTCTTCAGAAATAATCAGATGAAGGAGCTTTCCAAGCCTATTAGCAATGCATTTAGAAGCAATCTTTGAGGCCACAGTAGATAGGCAAACTGGTCTAAAATCATTGAGTTTCATAGCATTATAAGTTTTAGGAAGTAGGCAAATATTGGATGAACTTGCTGCCTTGGGAAGAGGAATTCCTAGGAAGACCTCTTGGCAAGCAGAAGTTAAATCCCCTTTGATAATATCCCAGCATTGGTTGAAAAAGTTGATGTTGAAACCATCTGGACCAGGAGAGGAATTAGGATCCATGTCCCAGATAGTAACTTTGATTTCCTCTTCAGTGGGCTATGACATCAGACATTCATTCTGATTTTGATCTATAAGATGAGGGATGGTGATAAGAAACTGTGAATAAACTTCACTAGAGCTGCAAGGTTCTGAAGAATTTAAGAGAGTAGTGAAATGAGTAACTGCAAGGGCCTCCAGTTCATCTGGCTTATCAATTAATTGACCTTGATCATTGAAAAGACTTGTAATTTGCTGTTTTCTCCTCCTTTCTTTCACCAGACTGTGAAAGAATTTTGTGTTGGCATCTCCATCTTTCAACCATTTAAGGTTACATTTTTGCTTCCAAAAGGCATATTCTCTCCTATGAGCTTCCTGAAGTTCTGCCAATTTCTGATTATAAAGGATTTTGTTATCAGTTGAGGGGTCAGCCTCAAACAACTGCTCAGCTTTAGTGGCATCAGTTTCTGCCTCCTTAATCATGTTAAAAATGTTGCCAAAATGAGTTTTATTCCAGGAAGAAAGTTTCTCTTTGAGATGATGAAGTCTTTTGAAGAGACTATGCATTCCCCCATGGAAAGGAATTTCCTCCCAACTATCCTTGCAGATCTGTCTAAAATCATCTCTTAATAACCACATATTTTGGAATCTCAAAGATTTGGTGGTGTTTCTAGCATCAGGTTTGGAGAGGAATAAAATAGGGCAGTGATCACTTCCACCCTTAGTAAGATGTTGCATAGAGATTATGTTCCAATGATCAGCTCAGAGGGCATTGTAGAAAACTCTATCAAGACGCCGCCATACATTGCCATTGCTTCTGACCCCATGCCAAGTATAAGCTGATCCAGTGTAATTACATTCAAGGAGGTTGTTGTCCTTGATGCAGTCACTGAAATCACTAATAGCTTCCAGGTCAGGCATCCTAGAGCCCTTGTGATGAAGAAAATCTGAGATAGTGTTGAAATCCCCCCAAGGCACCAAGGGTGATTGACATTGGCATTGAAAGATTCAATATTACGCCAAAGAAGTTTCTTGTCCTTAGTGGTGTGACCCCCGTAAATACCACTAATGGTGAAAGTAAAATTCTTATGGATGTCCCTCAGGGAGAAATGAGAAATTTGCCCAGCGTCAATGACATCAATCAGAGAAAACCTACTAGTGTCCCAAAGGAACTAAATTTTGTTATAAGCAACACTAAGGAACCCATTAAAACCCAGCTTAAAAGCAAGGGTTTTACATTTATTAGCCATAACCAGAGGTTCAATGAGAACAAAAAAATCAATAGAATTGTGCTTCTTCAAGTGGGAAAGCCTCTCACACCTCTTGGAGACTCCCCGTACATTCCAAAAGAGAGAATTAATCATTTAAGGGCTTGGAAAACCCCTTCTCCAGACTTTTTAAAGTCTGAACGTGTCTTGATTCTTGAAGCTAGATGAGAAGAGGCTCCCAATGGAGAAGAAGGTGCTGAAGAGGAGGTTTTCTTCACCGGAATATCAATCTGATGTCCAGGGGAGATGTCTGAGGAGGGATGTTGTAAAATAGGCTCCACACGTTGTTCAGTTGCATGCATGAGGTTTTCAATTATAGTAGTCCCACCATGAATAGGAATGGGTTCTGAGCTGGAGTAAGCTAGACCATTATTATCCAAATAAATTACCTCATGTGACTCAATAAATTGTACATGGGGCCTGCGTCGGGCTCCAGTTTTGGATGATTCCTCTCGGCAAAAGGCTGTTTGAGTTTCTGCTTTGGACGTTTCTTCTTGGCTCAAAACTGCCTGGTCCTTACCTGGAGGGGGATCCTTAGTGAAAGTGGGTTTCGGGACCCATTCACCGTTGGATTTATGCTGTCTTCTATTCTTCCTTTGCACAGTGGTCCATTCTTTTTCAATATGCTTGCCCTTGTCCTTACATGGTTGTATGGTTCCTACCGGCGGTAGGTTTCCCACTGGGATTTCCGGCTGGTAAGCTCCCTTGCAAGTGGTGGCGTTGTGACCAAGCCTTTGGCAAGAGTCACAAAAGGAAGGAGGATCCTCGTACAGAACCTGGAAAAAGAGGTCATCATCGATATGCTTGAGGTGGATGTGTAGGTTCTTGGACACGTCAATCTCAATGCAGACTCTCGCAGCTTTAGGACGAGAGAAGTTGAGTGTGGCGTTGTCAACCTTGAGAGGTTTACCCAATTTGGAGGTGATGCAGAATAAAGGTTTTTGGTCATGAAGGTGAATGGGGAGATTCGGGATAGTCACCCAAACTGGCACAATTGGAGAATCTTCATCAGGACGAAGGTTGGGAGACCATTTGGTTACCACCATGATTTCCTTTCCAAGAGTCCAAGATTTGCGTAGGAAAAAACGCTGATAATCTTAATCCTGCTCAAAGTTGATGAGAATTGAGTTGGAGTTGAGCTCGCCAAAAGTAAAACCTCCAATCAAGCCTAACCGGGTCAGGAAGTTTTTCACCACTGCAATGGGAGGTCTACGCCGGAATCTGCCAATCTGAGCAAACCTGAAATGGTTGGAGAGGGCCTCAACTTCTTGTTTAGAGAAGGAAACTGAAAGACAACCTTTGAAGCTGGATTTATCTGATGGCTTATTTTCAGTGCCCACGGATTTGAACAGCTCGGAGAAGAGTTTAGAACGTGCAGGGTTGCCTGAGCTTGACATCGTAGTTGCCGGAAAGTGTGCCGAGAACTTCACCGGAATATTTTCTCTCTCTATCACCATTTTCATATATATATATATATATATATATATATATATATATATATATATATATATATATATATATGTATGTATGTATGTATATATATATATATATATATATATATATATATATATATAGGGGCTGGTTCAAGTGAGAATGCACCTTGGTGAAAGAAATAAGAATAAAATCTGGCCTTTAGATCTGATGCATCGTGCGGCTCAGATTGCATTCTGCACTCAAATTTTGAGATAGTGCATTTTCAAAGGATTATGGTGCATTTCGACATGATGCATTTTCAAACCATCTTGGTGCACCTATTTTTGATGCAATCCTAACCCTTAGATCTCCCAATCTAATGCACCAGATTCATTCTTATTTCTTTCATTAGATTGCATTCTCACCTGAACCAAAATCTATATATATATATATATATATATATATATATATATATATATATATATATATATATATATATATATATATATATATATATATATATATATATATATATATATATATATATATATCATTATATTCAATGTGTATTCCTCATGCCTTCAATGTGTCCTTTCTGTCAAAGGGAAGCTTACACTGCCAAACATTCCCTAATTAACTGCCATATCATCAAAGAGGTTTGGCATCATTTCTCAGCCTGTGTTGGAATCTTACACCGCAAATCCTCAAGTATTAACCAACACTTCATGAATTGGTGGCTTATAGGAAGCAATAACATTTATGGTTTCCTAAGAAAGCACATACCTGGAATCATTTCATGGAACATTTGGAAAGGACTTAACTCACTTCTCTATGAAGACAAGAACAGTTTCAATCCCTCAAAGCTTATTGATTCCATTTCCAGGTATACAAGGAACTGGCTCCAAATGAAACTGCCTAAACAACTTAGAGTTTTTGATGCTTGGCTTATAGGCACAAACTTACTACCTAAATTCGAATCCAATCCTTCCATTCGATTGGTCAAGTGGCTAGCACCTCCTAAGGGCAGGCTCAAACTTAATGTTGATGCGTCTTTCACTCATAATGCTAAGCATGGAGCAGCTATTCTTAGAGATGACCAGGAAAGATTCGTTAGTGCGGCCTCTTTCCAAGTTACGGGTGAATCACCCTACCAAGCTGAAGTGGATGCATCCATCAAAGGAATAACATGGGCGCTCAAGTTTAATAAACTCCTTGTTTTCGAGACAGATGCTAAGGAAATCACTGTGAGACTCACAAAATATGTGCATCACTCACACTCTCCTTTTCCAATTGATATCTTGGGTACCATGATCATAGATAACTACATTTGGACATCTCATACTCTTCGAGAAGGAAATCAGCCCGCTGACTTATTAGCCAAAGAAGACACAACCAAAGGATGCAATTTTATTGAATATTGTAATATTAGAGATTGTTCTTCTTCTGTAAAAGCTGCTCTCTTTAACGAGAGTGTACCCTCCTTTCGATTTCATTAATAAAATTTTCAATATATATATATATATATATATATATATATATATATATATATATATATATATATATATATATATATATATATATATATATATATATATATATATATATATATATATATATATATATATATATATATATATATATATATATCTGTGTGTGTGTGTGTGTGATTGACTCCAGTGAGATGACACCTTACGGTGAGATGACATGCTTCGGTCAGATGACACAAAGCTCACCACTGGTCAATGCAAAGCTCACCAAAGACAACTACAAAGCTCACCATATTTTTTCAACACTTTGAATTTTTTTCCAAAAAAAATCAAAGGAAAGGGTGTTGACTGGACTTTGACTGTTGACTGCCAGCATTGACCGCAGCCTACCACCGGCCGCCGCCGGTCACCGGTCACCGCCGCCGCCGCCGCCGGTCGCCGGAATCCGGTCACAGCCGTCGCCGGTCGCTGGACTCCGGCCGCCGCCACAGGGCTCCGGCCCCCTTGACACACACAGATATATATATATATATATATATATATATATATATATATATATATATATATATATATATATATATATATGTATGTATCTATATATATATATATATGTATATATATATATCTATATATATATATATATAGACACACACACACAGATATATATATGTGTGTGTGTGTGTGTATACATATACATAGCAGCCACCACTGCCGCCGCCATAGCAGCGGCCAAGCCGCTGCTTTATTTCCATGTGATTTTCCCCTCTGCTTCCCCCCTTTTTCAGATGCAATTGCACTCCAATTTATAGCAAGGAGGTTTCTTCCCGTTGAGAATTGATTGTCGCGCAATTGATGGAGCCGAACGTTGGAGCGTTGAATGCTTCGCCAGTTTCACGCAAAGAAGAAGCCGCTGACACTTTTCTCATTCTTGCGTGCGTGAGACAACAAACATGGAGTGGTGGGCTGATCTCTTTTAGTGTTGGGTTTTGGCTCCGGCCCAAACTCAATCTATTCTTTTCAAACTTGAACTGCACTTTGGCCTTTTTGCTATACTTTTCTCCAAAAATAAGATATCTGATAACTTGGGTTAGGAAAAATAAAATAAAAATAATAGAATGTAAAAAAGTGATTAAAAAACTACTATTTATGAAAGAAAATAAAAAGAATGTAAAAATGAAAATTATAAATCCAAGAGCTTCCTCCAGTTTCTTCTTGTACCTTACTTTTCTTGATGTTGATTTCTTGTCCAGAAGCTCTAAGGTAGTTATGTAGGATGTGATTAAATCTCAGCATATTCCTTAGGTCGCCCTTAAGAAATACTAAGAGGTCATCTGCAAATGCAAGATGAGAAACCACCTGACTTTTCCCTGCCTTGAATGGTGCTATAAAACCAGAAGAGATAGCATAGTTCAGGCTCCTAGAGAATCCCTCAGATCCAATGATAAAGAGGAGAGGAGAAAGAGGGTCTCCCTGTTTGACTCCCCTCTTGATTTTGAAAAATCTGTGGGTCTGCTAAAGACAGGTTTAGAATCCCGGTTTACTTGCAATAATGTTTAGAATATGATATATATATATATATATATATATATATATATATATATATATATATATATATGATGACTACCAAGTCAACAATGGGTCTGACTACTATGTCTACTGTTGACGACTTGTCGTGCGGTCCAAAACAAATTAAAAATTTATAAAATATCCTTAGCTAACCCCCAATATATAATCAAATTAAAAACTATAGTTAGGGCAAGTAAGGGTCGATCCCACGGAGAAAGTTTGTATTTTTTTAAAACCATTTTAGCATGCGAATACATTGTCACAAAAAAAAATACTACACATATAATAAGACGTATAAAACTTATAACTAAATAAATACAAAAACTTATAAATTTAACTTATAAACGAAGAACTATAATATAACTATAAACATAAAACACATACTGAAAATATAGTATAAAGAACTTATATTTATAACTTATAAACAAGTACATATAATATACACTTCTTAAATAAAACTTATACTTATATAACACAAAGGGGGGTTGAATGAAAAGTAAATATTTTTGGTTTTTATGTATTTTCTTATTTTTTGGTTTTTTTTTTGATAAAATGGGGGAAAACAAGCTCTAAATATAATCAACTCCTCCAACAAAAGTAACCCAAGAAACACCACCAAGAACACGAAACAAAATGAAAAAGAGAACAAACACAAATTGAACATTACACGTATAATAGGCACTTAGACAATATATTACGTAACTTAGGCACTTAAGAATAGAAAAATCAATCAAAGGCCGAGTCAATTCATTTCCTTAACCACGATATGGAGGATTTTCAACTCTCCACACGGCCCGGAGTCATGCAATTTAAAGGCCCGTTTTGAAATATACCTTAGAACCCCAACTCTCTATTCAAGCATGAGAACATACTTCCACTATAGAAAAAATTTATAAAAGAGAGAATCTATTATGCATTCAACTCTCATACATAATCTATTCACAAACCGCCAATACCTTATGCACTTTAACAAACTTTTTCTCCTAATGATGAGCACATTTCACAGATTTCCATAAACTTCTCTAACCAATTACCTTTTTTCTATTCACATAAATGAACACAACATATTTTCAATAAATTGAGAATTGTTTTTGAGTTTAAACAACCCTAATTCAATGAAAATAACAAACAAACACATGAAAACATAATAATCACTCAATAACGAATTCTAAGAAAAATGAATCAACTTATGGGGCTAAAAAGTCCAAAATCCTTAAAATCAACGAACACAAGGCACGATAAAGAATCACGTATGAATTCGGAGTTCATTTAACTACCTTATGGAGCTAAAATAGCTTCAACAAAAACCGAATTCTACATACCAACCTACTTATGAAATCAAATTATACAATTCAACCAATTCAACAACTTGCTCAATAATTGAAGAAAAACTAGTTTCAGTCAATTTTCATTCATAAGGGATTTAATATAAACATAAAAAAAAACCATAAAAGAACACCAACCATTTTTAGAATTTTATGAAATTCACACAACAAGGTAAGAAAAAGTGTAAATTAGAATTGAAAAACAACTTTTACAAAGAAATTGATTTTCCCCTCTACTTCCCCCCTTTTTCAGTTGCAATTGCACTCCAATTTATAGCAAGGAGGTTTCTTCCCGTTGAGAATTGATTGTCGCGCAATTGATGGAGCCGAACGTTGGAGCGTTGAATGCTTCGCCGGTTTCACGCAAAGAAGAAGCCGCTGACACTTTTCTCATTCTTGCGTGCGTGAGACAACAAACATGGAGTGGTGGGCTGATCTCTTTTAGTGTTGGGTTTTGGCTCCGGCCCAAACTCAATCTATTCTTTTCAAACTTGAACTGCACTTTGGCCTTTTTGCTATACTTTTCTCCAAAAATAAGATATCTGATAACTTAGGTTAGGAAAAATAAAATAAAAATAATAGAATGTAAAAAAGTGATTAAAAAACTACTATTTATGAAAGAAAATAAAAAGAATGTAAAAATGTAAAAATGTAAAAAGAATGTAAGAATGTAAAGAATGTAAAAAGAATGTAAAAATGCACTTTACATCCTCACTCCAAAGACTTTATGCCCAAAACATTTAAGATTTTATGAAAAAGTGAGCTATAAATCCTACAAGATCGAGAACTAAAATATGGATTATTCATGTTCTAAAAAAATGCTCTAAAGTTGCCACAAAAAAGTTTCCTAAGGAGATCCTATGGTTCAGAAAGGTTCAATGGCAACGGTAGCAAAATTTGAAAAATAAGCCTAAAAGATAAAAACATACAATTTCCTAAAAATAAAAGAAAACTCCTAAAACTGGTTCTTAAAACTTTTAAAGATCACACAAGGTTATTAAAATAGCATCTAGATAATATGTGGATGACCAATTCTAGAAAACAAAATTCTAAAAAAACCTAAAAAGATTCAAACTTTAAGGTCATTTATTGAGAAAATGGGCATCAAGACTCAAGGCGAGTTGTAAAGAATACATTTGTTATCTTTCATAATAAAGCTCAACAAAAAAAAGAGGTTTTTGGGTCAATTTTGAAAACAATGCTCTATATAAGGAGATATGCAACTAAGAATGACAAAAATATTTAGACCCAAAACCTATTTTTTTTTGAAAAAAAATTTGCCCCAAAAGTTTTTTTTTAAGCATTTAAGCAATGACACAAGCATGAGCAACTCCCCCCCACACTTAAAATATGCATAGTCCCCAATGCATCTATATGGTATGCAAATGGCAATATTAAGCAAGCACGGACTTAGCAAAGAGAGAAGGGGAAAGGGAAATGCAACAAAAAAAACAAAGTATACGCAGCATCAACTCATCACTTTTCCTTCCTTAAAGTGCTCGATGGACCCAAAATCTGCAAAAACATTGCTAAGACCAAGTCTTTTTAGCTTTGAAGAGATAAAAATCAGATTTAAAGAATGTATATTTTAAGCTTCAAATTTGGTTCTGGAAACCAAGTCTTGTGCCTTTTTGCACTTTTCAAAACAAAATGTTGCATATGAGAAGGTTAGTTATGTCATGTTGGAAATTTTGGCATTTTAATTGGCATTAAATGGACCAATTTGGGTATATTTTTCAATAGGTCCACTAACGGTTTTAACCGTTTATTAATGGACGTGTGTTCTCTTAAATGAGATAAATGTTTTGACAATTTATACGCCAAAAATGGTAGAGGGTGAATGAGAAATTGATTCTCAGAGTTAACCCGTTAATAAAAGAATATGGTGAGGATTGCAATTTTTGCAATTTTACTGAACCAATCTTCTTTTATTAATTTTACGTATTGTTTAAAATTAGTCCATTTTTACGGAGTTAACTGGCCATTAATC